CAGGAAGGGCGCACACAACTTGGTAATCAGCAGGACTTGCGCCTGCCATGAGAGGCACTTTGGGGAAAGGATTCCGGACGTGTACTCGCACCAACATAAGATTTGTTTTCATCCGAATATTTGCAATTCAGATAGTCCTTAATGTAATCACTACGATCCCTTTAAACTTTTGCCATAATTGGTTCTACATTTTGGGGTTTAATTAAGTAATTTTAAATATATATTAATATATTATGGTAAAGGCATGATGGTAATATCTATTCATTGAGATTTAATTGGAGTTGAAAGGGTTCTCAAAAGAAGTTCATTCTAGAACTCTTTTTGGAAATTTTCTATGTGGTCTATGGTTGTACGGAATAAAGTCTTATATGAAAACGTAAAAGGCAACACGAAAATATTGTCAATTAATTAAAAGTTCCTGCTGCTCCTGCCACTGCCTGGTAGACTATAGTATTAGATAATAATATTAAATGAGAGATGAGCGATTGCAATAATATTATTCGTACTTCGGACCTTGAGATAGTCGCATGAATGGGAAAAATATACTGCTTAAGATCCTTGAGATTATGGTTCTAAATATTAAACGAGTTGTCTACAAAATTAAAGAAATCTAAGAAATAATAGCAAGTAATTTTCTATGGGCCAATTTTTGTAAATTTGGGGAGAAGTGAAGGGTAGAAGAAGAAATATGCTTGAAAACAATCCATCGTCCTTGCCATTTGCATAAGATTCATAAAGAATATTATCACCACTTTTTGTTAAGCTTTTGTGAAAATCTACTTTTCCATTTTGGTGAAATTATCGCAAATCGCATTCAAGCTGAATCCTTTCGATCCATTGTGCAATCAATATTGACTGGCAAAAGCAAGTGGCTCTCAAATTTTGGCCAAATTAATACGATTTTATTGCCGCCATTGTCTAGTGCCGCGGCAGGGTGTGACGCCATCCAACTGGAGGCCATTTGGAGCCCCTTTCTGCGCTGCCAGCGCCTGAGGACATAAATTTGTGTATGTACTCGTAGTAGTTGCGTATACGCAATGCCATTAAATTAAGCCTGACATTGTTATTATGACTACAAACAAATATCAATTAAATTTGAATAAAAATGCAATACACATAAATCCAGTTCGGTGGGAGAGAGTGTTTATGGGTGCATGGATACAAGCCAACCCAGCCAGCAGCCAGCACCCAGCAGCCAGCACCCAGCGGATATAAAGATGCATGGAGTGCCAAATGATGCGCAACCACTTATGGCTTCTGCCTGCAGCTGCCTTTCGCCTTTCGCCGCTCGTCCCGCACTTACTGGCACGCATCCTGGCATCCTGTCACGCATTATAAGTTTATTATGTGCTTTTTGGCCCTCGCTGCACTTGGTTTTGCCTCCGAACCAGACCGGAGCCTCTCGCTCTGGTTATCCATCTGGCAGTGGTCCTCGCTCTGGTTCTCCCTGCGACTCCCTGGGACTCCCGGTTGCGTAATTTCCCATTCGCTTTTATGCTGGAACGAATGTGCATAATTTGTCGGCATAAATCTTCGACGAGCACTGGACGAGTTGGGGTCTCATTTCGGTTCGATGCGGCTAGGCGATTGGCTGCCATGGCCGTTAATTTGTGGCCTAATTGAGCGAGTCGCAGGCGGAATCCGTTCGGCCACGTAACGAGGTAGTGGCCGAGTACATCTGGCGATAACAACTGGGCCCAACTGTTGCAACAGCTTACCACTTATCAAATAGACTAGACTAGTAGAATATTTCATCCCATTCTATCGACTCGACTCAAAAATCGTTTAAGAGATCGTACAATTCCCTTTTCAAATCATACATTTTTTTGGTTATTCGCATTGCAGATGCCGAGCCAGAATAATGAAAGTGTGCCAAGCCATCAGATCGCAGTTTCTGAATTTTAAAAAAATATTTTTGGGTACACTGCAAATTCCAAGTATGAGGAAGTGATCTACTCATCCAGTCCTACTGCCCGATTTCTTTCCCATGCAAAAGACTGTCGCACAATGTAATTAGAATCAGAGAACCACCTAGGAATAATTACATCCATTTACAATGACCCTATTGTAGTAGCGAATGAAACAGGAAATGGATCGCAAATTTAATACAAATTAATTTATAAATATTAACCGGGCTGAAGCGATGTAAAACATAAACTGCAGAAATCGCGACAGCCAACAGCAAACATTTATTGGTATTTTTACTTTCTCAAAACATTACAAAATAGTTGTCTTCTAAGGTAATTTCATAGATACATAGATATGTACTGTATAGAATACAGTATTTAATTATAGTGAAGCCATAACTATAGCTAGTGTGAAGCTATTTCTTCATCAAATATGGCATTCGTGTCACGTTTTTTATTTCTAAACAGAATGCAATTTTTCCCAAATTTATTTGATTTAAATGCAAATTCTTTACATTCTTGGACCAAGGCCAGGTGGCATTCAGAGACTCACATGATTACCAAATTGGTCTTGGCGGAGAAATCCCCCAGAGCAAGCCCGTGTCTAGATCCTGTCAGAGCCAGAAGTGGAGTCTGGCCTTCAAATGTCAACCCAAACTAAAGCCCCGTGTGCAACAGTTCAAGCAAGAGCAAAAGCAGGTGGCTCCGGCTTAAAGGGTGAAAGAGTGAAAGGGTGAAAGCCAAAACAAAACTTTGTGTTTTGGCTAATTCCGGGGGCAAGCACGCATGCACTTGCCGCCCCGCCCCACCCCGCCCCGCCCATGGACTGCCAGTCGGATCAGAGTGGGGCCGGAATCGGGGGCGTGGACACGAGCCGGGGAGCACAACATTTCGTAATTGAAGCGCAAGTTTTTGATGCCATGATAAGTTCAAATGCAGCCTCGTCCTCCCTCAACGCTCTGCATGACTGCCGCACAATGCCATACATGAGGCGATTAGGAAGGGTTGGATGGATGGATGGATGGATGGCTGGGTGGGTGGTTGGGTTGTGGGGTGCTGGGCGCTGGGCGCTGTAAGACGCCAACGCGTCCTTGAGCGTACTTTTCTGCCACTTGCCTTCTATTTGTAATTTTAACGAGCTTGCTTTCGCCTTCTCTCTTGCCTTTGCCTTTGCCTTTGCTTTTGTTTCTGTTTCTGTTTCTGATGATGTTTCTGCTGCTGTTTTGCCTAGTGCCGAGTGCCGAGCACTTGTGCAACAATATTTGCAGCAAGCTGCTCAAAGGCCCTGCCACTATATTCTCCTGCTATTTGTGTTCACTTTTTTAGTCATCCATTCTCCTTTCAAATGTTTCTTAGGGGCGAGCGTGTCTCAAAAGAAAATGAGTTTTCTTTGCCATTTCCCGACTGTCGCGCTGTGCATTTGGGAAAGATTTGATACATGCAAGCCATATTTCCCTCCTTCCATGCCACCCTCGGCAATTTCCGGCGGAAGCGCGAGCAAACTTTTGCAGGTATTTAAGTGGCTGCTCCTTTGCCGAGCTGCGAGACAAGAACTCGGCTTGCCCTATCCAACCCACTAGAAGTCGACTCCTCGGCTCCTTGGCCTTTCGCCATTCTTCAATGTGCGCACTTCCGTTTCCGGTCTAGGGCATCGACAAAAAAAAAACTGCAGCCCCCACAGCTGCTTGAGTCGAACTAGCTCTGAGTTCTAAACTTCAATTAATTTACATTGAATTGGGGTTTTTAAGAACCTTGTCTTCTCTCTCACTTCGTCAGCTCGGACTTGGTGCTACGATGGTGCTGTCGTATTGCATAATCCACCACAAGATATTAAAGATACTCTCAGATAATAACTAAAACAACATGCTGTTAGTAAAGATCCGATTGGAAAATCTAAAAATTGTGCCTTAATCTTAATCTATGTATTCAGTTCATAGTTTTCTTTGTTAATTCAAGGCTTTTACTCTTTTTCTTGACCTGTTTTTGAGAATATAGGTCGCCAAGGTCGACTTTGTGGTAAATTAAAGATACTTGGAGTTCCTTAAGAAAGCGTAGCCAGAAGGACCAGCTCCTCTGTGAAAGTACCTACATATATGTACAGTATATTATGTGTATTAGCGTGCTTTTGCCTGCTCCTACTGTACGTATGTCCTACGATTCGAGTATATGCCAAAACATACTTAAGCAGAGACCGCTATAGTGATTTGCATATGTCTCTCCGCTGTGGGGCCCTGGCATGAAATACGAGTTCGTATTTACTTCAACAGCAAATTGCTTTTAGTGGCTCTGGCTTTGGCTCTGGCTCGGACTTGGACGCGCCTAACAAATTATGTAAGCGTTCCCGCTGTCGCTGCTGTACGGTATGGGGAGCGTCGTGGTGGTGGTGTGTGATTTATTAACAACTAACGTCTGGGTCTGGGACCTACCGAAAAGAAAAGAGAAAGAGCCAACCGCAAGTCACCTGCCAGCACAAAAGCCAATTTTAATTAAGGGAAACATTTCAAGTGATGTGAAAATGAAAGTGCAGGAAGAGTGCAATGAAAAAAAAGGAGCACAAACTAGGCGAATGGAAAATGTGTCATGGAAATGCGGAAAATGCCTTTTGCCGTGAGAAAAGTGAAAGCAGAAAAGTGAAAAGTCCACGCCCCCTCCGACACGGTCAAATGGCGAGCCCTGAAGGCAGACCCCTGACGAATGCAATGGGGGCGAGTGGGGTAGGGGCAGGATAGGGTGTAGGTGTAGAAGAACCCCTTACCTGTCCTCAACTTTAAGGCCAAAATGAAATTTTCATGCATATTTTTGGTCGGCTAAGCGGAAACAGCAACAGAAATTATATTGCTTGTGATTCTACAAACCGCTAACGCCTCCAAAGCACCGATAACTTTTTATGGGTCAAATACAGTCAATCAATACAGATAATACTACTCACTGAGTTGATAGCTTGAGATCACACCGTAGCTGTAGGGACGTTTCCTATCATGACTGTGCTATCAGGTTCGGGAATCCAACAGATGCACATACGCATGCACATTTTTAATTGGCATTTTTACATGAGCATCGGACCCATTTCACTCAGTTTGCTTTCGAATCGACTGTGCGAGAGTCAAGTGAAACATGAGGAGCTCGGCTTTCTTGGTCATCGTCTATGGGCTTTTGTTGCAAGGAGAATCCTCCCTCGCCAGTGAAGACCAAGAAATACATGTCACGCCGGAAGTTAGCCTCGGGGATCAGTGTAATGGATATTGTTTCTTAGTGTTAAAGCCCCTCCTGGATTATTTCACCCAGCTGAAAGAAGCAACCGATGCCAACAATGAAATGAAAGACAAAATAAACTCATTGGAGGTCACCGTCAGCAATTTGCAGAGCCAGCTACTCAACAGTGAGACGCAAATAAAAAACAATATCGAACAAATCAAGGACAAAGAGAACCAAATCAAGGACAAAGACAACCAAATCAAGGGCCTCAGAGAGCAGATGGATCTGGTTGCTGGAGTGCTGGCCGAAAAGAACGATCAGCTATCGAAAATCAACCAAACGGCGGAGAACATTCCCGAAACGTGTGGCAGTGGCACCCCAAATGGCGTTTATCAGATAAAGGTCAGGGGAATAGAGCCGTTCCAAGTGCCCTGCGTATCGGATTCCTCTGGATGGACTCTCATCCAGAGACGAGTGAACGCCAACGAGAACTTCAATCGGAGCTGGGCAGACTACAAAATGGGTTTCGGCGACCTCCGGGAGAACTTCTTCCTGGGACTGGAAAAAATCCATCGAATGACCCTGCTCCAGCCTCACGAGCTGTACATTCAACTCCAAGATGTTAATGGAAGCACCAGGTATGCTCGCTACGACGATTTCAAAATAGGAAACGAGGAGGAAGCCTACGAACTGATATCGCTGGGAAAATATTCAGGAACAGCCGGAGATTCCTTAACTAAATATCACCTAAACATGAAATTTTCCACTTTGGACCGGGATATTGACGCTAATGAGAAAAGGAATTGCGCGCAATATTATGGAGGTGGTTGGTGGTTTTCTGCTTGCGCACAAAGGTACTCACTCTATTACGAATTTAACGCTATTAAATATTCTAAACTTATAATGTGATTTTCTTATTTTCTTATAATACAGTCATCTCAATGGAAACTATTATAAAGATGGTACAAGTGAAGTGCGTGACGGCATTTTTTGGGGTACTTGGAAAGACTATGATTTCTCGATCTCGCTTACATTTTCTCAAATGATGATAAGGCCAAAAACGCTATAGAATGTACATATATTCTTAAATGATGTATTCGTAATTAAAGCAGTTCAATTAATGCTAAAAGATGTTTATAGTTAAATTTATATATGCAAATATATATGTATATATAAAAAAATCTACCAATCCTTACGTTCTGACTCACTTTACCACCTTCTAAATATTTCATGTTATGCTTAAACTGAACATAAACAATATATATCCCTGAGATCTGTCTATATCCCACCAGGGGGCGCCACGTTGGACGAGGAAGACAGAGAGAGCAAGCGCGAAACAAGAAAGTCAGCCAGGGGAAAAGGTTTTCCTAAATCTGGCTATTGATCCAACCGCGATGTGATTCTGCTAGATATCGTTACTTTCTATTGATCTCTATGATTCTGCGTTTTATATTTTCTCGTATCTTCCACCTTGTGGATGGCACATGGATTCTCGCGATGTGATACGCGATGTGTAGGGCACACAAAATCGGATTTATGTAACTATGAACGTGTAGACGACTCTGAGATGGCTATGTTCTGAGGGTTGGTAACAAAGGAATTGAATATACATAAGTACCCCTGCACTCTTTACTAAGGAAAATCCCTAGTTCGTTTTTGTTAGGTCCCCCCAACGGGTGATCCTCAGAAGCCAGCTCTCCATGCTCAATATTAAACCATATTCCATTGGGACGAGTAGGATGTATTTTAGCGTCAAAGTATAACTCCATTCACTTCCCACAAACTATTTGTAGACACGCACACACAAAGCATTTGTACATTTTTCAATTTATCAGAGAACTTTCGAGAGTACCGATGGAACAAGAGGATAACAGACCCGAGTGGGGGAAATCCGTTAGTAAGGGTAAGTCGTATGTCACAATTGCATACATATTGCATTTCATTCTCACATCCATGGGGCAGTCTGCCTGTTGCCCCAACGTGTCGTGCTGTCGTTGATGGGATTCTTCAGCCTCATCTGCACCTTCACGTGTCGCGTTTCCTTGTCCCATGCCATCACTATATTGGCGATATCCAATCGCACCACGAATTCTACCGATGATCTGCCAGAAGGCGTTTGCCCAAAGGAAGAGGTGACGGAAGGTGGTGCGGCGTATAAGGGACTATACGCGTGGGATGAGACGCAGAAGGGCATCATCCTAGGAAGCTTCTACTTCGGCTACATCATCTCTCATTTGCCAGGAGGCATTTTGGCCGATTTGTACAGTGCCAAATGGGTGGTGGCCTTCTGCGTGGGGGTGACGGGCATTTGTGAACTGCTCAGCCCCATTGCCATTAACTTGGGGGCGTATTATTTGATTGCCCTTCGTGTGCTGATGGGTATTGCCCAAGGTCCAATCTTTCCCGGACTGAACGGTCTTCTATCCTCCTGGGTGCCGAAGAAGGAGCGGAGCACACTGGGAACCCTGTGCTTCAGCGGCAGTACGATGGGCATCATATTGAGCAATGCCTGCTCTGGCCTCCTCCTGCAGTACTTTTACTGGTCTGTCATGTTCTATGTATTCGGCGCATTATCTGTGATTTGGTTTATTGTGTTTGTAAGTATAGACCGTATTTAAAAGTTCGAATACGTTGTCTATTTTGTTGTTTTGTTGTTCTCCCATAGGTTATCATCTGCACTAATTCCCCGTACGCTCATCCCTTCATTAAGCCCACGGAGCGGCAGTATCTGGCCGAAACAGTTGGAAACGTCAACAAGAACAAGCCTGCAATACCCTGGAAGCCGTTGCTGATCAGCGTCTCCATGCTCAGCCTGATCATTAGTCAGATGGGCCACGATTGGGGATACTACGTGATGGTCACCAATCTGCCCCTCTACATGGCCGACGTAATACAGTTTAGCATACGCTCCAACGGCCTGGCCACCGCCCTTCCCTACGTCGCCATGTGGATAGCTTCCTTGGTCAGCGGCGTTGTTGCCGACTGGCTCATTCGCACGGAAAAGATGAAACTGGTCACCGAGCGGAAACTGTTCACACTTCTGTGTAGGTCCCACTCCACTCCACTCCACTCCACTGCACTCTACACGGACCGTCCTACTTATCATCGCTACCCTCCGCAGCCGCCTTCTTCCCCGGCCTCTTCATGGTAGCTGCCTCATATGGGGGCTGCAACAAGGCGCTCGTGGTTGCCTTGTTCACAATCTCCATGCTGACCATGGGCCTCTACTACGCTGGTCAGAAGCTGTCCGCCCTGGATGTGAGCCCCAGCTATTCCAGTACCATAACGGCCATCATCAATGGTCTCGGTTCGCTGACGGGACTCTTCGCCCCTCCCATAATCGGGCTCCTAACTCCAGATGTATGTATACGAAGCATTCTTTACGAAACCAATTTCCACCCTCTACGCTTTCCAGAAAAACCTTGTTCAATGGCGTATAGTATTTTGGGCCTCCTTCTTGATACTGACTCTGTCGTCCATCGCCTTCTGGTTTATGGGTAGCGCCGACGTTCAGCCCTATGATCCCATGTACAACAAAACAGAGAAGCCTGCAGAAAACAAGAATAAATAATCAAATCTCCCAATAAGCAACACACAGCGATGACCCATATAGAGGCACCTTCAAAATCCTCAATATCTATATAATTCTGTTTCAATTAATAATGATACAAATTTTGATTGACACAACGCCAACAATCAAAGTCTACCAAGGTCCATGGAGCTCAGTCTATGGACGATTAGACGAGTGAAGATCCTAGCCTTGGAATCAAAACCCTTTAAAAACTGTAGATTTAAAACAAGCTAAATTTATTCTGCACGAATAAAAAAAACCCAAGAAGGTGTATATTTTCTAGTTTGCCAATGAAATAATTTGTGTTTAAGGCATTTCAAATTTGAGGGCACTGTTTTATGGCATTTTTATGGCATTTATTTAATAGTTACGCACTAAAAATGGCATCGATTTTTTGGCAGAAAACCGTTTATTTCGTGGCTCCGACACGAACGGGAAAAGTGAAAGCAAATCGATTTTCACCTGGGCCGGGGCGGCCCTTCAAGGTGTGTCGCTTTCTGGGAGGGGAGGGGGGGGAGAGGTGAGCGTGAGCGTGACCAGGCGAATTACTTAATTAACGCACTTCACTGACAGAGCCAAACCTCGTCCTTGTCTCTGTCTCTGTCTACGACTGCGTCTTCGCATAGCAAACCATCGTCCATACAGTCGTGTTTGCAGGGCAATCTGCAGTGGCAGACCTCGACCTTGTTACCCACATTGGGTTTGGCATTTCGTTGACAAACTTGACCTCCTGACCTCTCCGAAGTGGCCGGTACGGTACCAGTTTAAAATGTCTGGCAAAAAATCAATAGAATTCGTGATATCCTAATCACAGGGCTGTCGGCAACAGAATCTCCCAAGGATGCCGAGGCCCTTGCTTTTGGTGGCCCAAATTGACAGGCCTCCATTAGTGTGATCAAATATGCAGACATTGCCAATTAGATGAATTTTTTATGTGCCCAACAAATAAGCCATAAAGAGTGTCAACATGTCCCACACAGACACAGACACACACAGCCCCACGAGATAAACACTCACGTATGGTTTTCACAGGAAAATAGGAAACAAGGAGAGAAAAAAAAAACACAAAGTTTTCCTTCCCATAATCTTGATCTACTTTTCATGTACCATGCAACGAGCTCTTTGGTTTATTATTTATTGGCTTTTCGATAAGCCAAATTGCGTCGCGTCTGTTTTCTGTTTTTTTCTTACATACTTTATGACTTTATAATACCCCCTCAGAGCGCCGAGTGGTTCGCATAAATCTTGTGATTATAGTTTGGGCCCTGATTTGTTTGTGGCTCCTCCGAGTGCCATAAAACAATTACCTGGACTTGTTTAAAATTTGAAATTGGATTTCCCATTGACAAAAGCTCGGCGGGAAGGGGCAAACGGGACACAAGCCAAGCCAACAAACAAGCCCAGGCACAATCACAGGACTGTGGACTGTTGACTGTTGACCGTCTATGATTTTCAGTTGGAAACATTTTGTTGGCCCAGCCCTGGGACGACTGTCGCATGTCAGTCAACAAATTTCACAAAATTTACGTTGCCATTCAATATTGTTGTTTGTCAAACATTTTCGGTCGAGTGGCGCGCAGGGCGTATGCCCCACACACTCGTACTGTGCATTACGCATACGCCCAGTGCCACGAGTTTAACATTTTTTGGTCTTATTATGAAATATGCAAATATTTCTAGCATTACAATGGAGCATACGTGTGTGAAGTATTAATTACTATAATACTAATACAAGTTTTAGGCATTTGTAAGTCTCCAGACAGGGTATACCAAGGAATTTGGGAACAGTCCCTGGGCCAATCAATGACTGGACTATAACAAATGCCTTTACTACGCGCCAACCAAGCCGTTGGCTAATATGATTATGGTGAAAACAATTAAATATAAATCAATACGAGTATTCCTTTCATATGTACTATATGTAGTGTTCTACAGTACTCACATTAAGTCAGCAATTGTTCCATAAACTGCGCCATTCGCCGTGCCCGTCCACAAGAGGCCGCTTTCAATTTGTCGCTTTCATTGCGGTAGAATTGCGGTAATTATCATGGTGTTACCGGTTGCGTTTGTTGTTGTTTGTTTTGCTGAAAGCTTTTCACTTGCCTGGCTCCGACACACGCAAATTGAAAACTGATTTTTCAATGGATATGAGGAAACAATTCACTTTGCACACACGCACACCACCTCTAGAGCCTTTATTTATCTATTTTTATTGGCTCCAATTCGAAAATATAGCTCCTTCTATTGCATATACGTTTCTATGTATCCATCGGGATTATTCTACTGACACCAATCGATTCGCAACTGAAAGTAGACAAAGGAAAATACCGCATTAGCTCGGGTATATCTTATAATATTGTATACGTTGGCATCTTATTCCAGTCACATACACGTACCCTTTATCTAATTTCCCAAAAAGCAATTCCCCGACCTTGTCTGCCAAAGGCATTTATACCCATTATCCCTCATCTAATTTGTTGTAAATGCACGCGTAAGCGCCGCTAACCCAAAAGCAACGCCCACCAAGCGATTTGATTGCACAATGGCTAGACGTAGCCAGAGCCGTACAACAGCAACAATGCGACAGGATCCACTCACTATACTCGTATACTATGCATACAGACCCTGTTTCTGTGTGGGGTTAGACAAATATATAAAGGGTAATAAAGGGTTTAGTTACGCAGACAAGGGCAAAGCACATCCATAGATATGCTGTGCGACTGTGTGTAAATTGAATGAAAAAAGGCTTCGTGTTGCACAGTGGCACAAGCGTTGCAATTCCTACCTCCCGGGATGTAAGAGATCATTCCTCAGCTCAAGATATCCCCAGAAGTTCCTGTCCAACAGCTCTATCAAAACCGTATCTACGGATATCGATTATCCATCTAAATAAGCTGCGGACACTGTGCTTTATGGGGGACTCTTTTTTCAACACTTTCCCTTACTTTCTGTTCGGTTGTGTGGGAACAGCTGTGGCATTGCCTGACAGCCGTACGCCATCGAACTTGAGGTCTTGAGTTTGGGTTTCCCCATTTATTTTTATTTTTTCTGTGTGTTTTCGGGCATTTAATGCACGTTTTTCACATACTGAATGAATTTTGGATTTTTTCTGTGGGCTAGTCCCACGACATATGTGAGTCGGTGGAGTGGCTTGCATAAGAGCGCTATCCGCCGCGAAAAAAAGGCTTTAAAGTCGCATAAAAGCCCGGAGCTGAAGGAGCCACGCGAAATGCATATTAACCTCAGCCATAAAGTCTGATGATAAAAAGAAAAGTTCCAAGCTGACAATACCCCCGAAAGAAATGGCCATTTACGAGCAGACCAGCATGTGGGGGCGTTCTCTATGGGAGAGCATAAAATCCAGTAATTTATATTTATACTTTTTTATATGCGTATTCTTGGAGCTAATTTGAGGTTATTGTTTTGTTGAGTATTTTCCTACCTACATAACCAAGATGTGGCTCAATTAATTTGGCATACAACTCTCTCCCCATTCGAATCCCAATTCTTTGGCCAAACACAATGAATTATTTGCCACACCGTTCAGGGGCTCGTCAGAATTTAAATGCACCTTTAATTATTCATGGGAAATCTTTGAACACTTGCGACTATTTGGATTAATTAATTTCTTGGCCGTAAACGCATTTGCATGCCACATAAATTATGCCCTGCGGCCATATGTATTTTTCTTCTTTTTTTACAAACCTGTGGCCAGACCAACAACAACCAGAGCCAGAGCCAGAGCCTCGCCCACACATGTCCAAAATGTAGGTCAGCAATGTGAATTGAAAATCACAATAAAAGTTAGTTCAGTTTCTGGGACCACAGGCTTAGATACCCTTACGTATTAAGTCCTGTAACTATTTGTTCTTCGACCAAAGAGTGATCTGTCTGAAATGGATATATAGTTCCGTCTCTATAGGGTATGCGGGACACTCAAAGGGACTAAGTCACCATACCTCCTGCAAGGGTATCTTTAAACACGCTCACACATTTCAGCGTGTGTGTACTGCTAGCTTTGTCGCAGTGTAAAATCAATTTTCATGAAATGTGCCACGCGTCGTATGAGTAATCAGCGGGAGACAGGGACAGGGACAGGACAACAAACAAAGCTCGAGCCAGAGCGTATGCGTAATGCGTGCAAAGACGGCGCTAACATATTGCGCCATAAATCAATTTCGCACTAATTTCAATAAATCGAACTGCTTCACAGAAGAAAACAAAACAGAACAGAACAGAAAATTATATAATTCGATAAACAGCAGACAGACTAACAACTACTAACTACTAACTAGTGCTAAAGTGGTGGCCTGGTCTCAATTATTTGCATGTTGACCTTGCTCACTAGATTAGCCCCAAAGCGGGGGCTAATACCCATAAATAATGGGTATCCCTGCAGAAAGGTAAGTACCATCACGTTTGTCATCTTCTGATCTTCCCGAGGGATCTACAAAAGCGCCTATTTTTATCTAAAACTAGCTTCTAATTAAGTCAAATATAAGGAATACATATACAGTAGACGCTCGGAAATTATAAATCTCAGAAATTAGAATCTTCCAGGTATTAGAACCAAACTTTTTTTGCACTGAACTCTCCAAAATTATAATTTCAGAGCGTATTTTGTTGTTTACTTTTGCTGCAATTTCGTTGATCCAAAAAAGGGGGTTTCTCTTATTTGTTACAAAGTCAAGACAGTTCAGTTCAGAAGAGCCAGTGTATAAGTCAGAAGTTGATCAAATCCAACTTTCTTCGGTTGGTTGGTTGGTTCTTCAATCCATTTCTCATAACCATGCTATTGAAAGCGCAAACAATTTACTAAAACGGTGCAAAAAAGACATACACAAATAAACATATACTATATATCGAATCTCCTGGCCCTTCGTAATGTATAAGGTGAAGAAGCCCAAAAAACAAGATGATATGAGACAAAACTGAAGTACTGAAATTTGTATCATGTACAATCAAAATAATTTTCTGTATTGCTTAAAAACAAATTAGAGTCTTTCGAGAATTTCCGAGCGTCTAGTGTATCCATACATATATCTAAACATATATAAAACGAACCACCCAAAAGTATACATCATATAACATTTTACCTGCTTTTTATGTTAGGTCGAGATTAAAATATTGCTTTATATTGTAATTGTTTCGTGTAGTATTTTGTTGGTTATCTGCTTGCAGTTCTTGGTAGAATTGTTCTTAGATCATCATGACTATAACGATGAAGTAGCAACAGCACATAAGAATCTTGAAGTTTGACAGTTTGGGTGCCTTGACTTTAACCGACCTTTGCCTCTTCCTGTTCAGCTCGGACTGCAGTTGCAGTTTGGATTTAAAGTTCTCGTAGTGTGGGTCGGATGTATGGATGACGTTATTCTCTCCACCCTCAACGACCTCAACGACTGCGACTATGTCTTGGGCGTCGCGGTGGTGGTGGTGGTGCTGCTGGTGCTGGTGGTGGTGGTGGCTGCCGTTACTGTCGCAGATTTTGATGTTGTCGCAGTTTTGTATGCACATTTTCCACGGTTGACCTTTCCGCTGGTACTTTTCCACTTTTCTTTGGGGGAATTTATTTGATTGCACTTTCACAGTTTCACAATCGCGTATCCTCGTGTGCGCGCATTTTCCCCATGCAGTTTATAGTTTGTTATCAAAGTCAGCGGATTTCATGGCCGCACCAATTCGGGTTTTTCCTTCATCAGGGTAATTTCCGAATTTCCAAAAAATATGCGAAAAAAAAACAACACCAAAGAGAAAACTTTAGTTAAAGTTTGCCCGAAATGAGCAAACATTTGCTGGCCAGCAATTTGAGAGGTTAATAAACATAAAAGCAAGGCACCAGCGGGGACTGAAAGGGAATGGAAATGGTTGGTCAATGGGGAAGAACAGAGGTGGGGGGCGGATGGGGATGGGGGAGCGGAAGGATCCTCCTAACGCACAAAAGAACAGATTCCTAATAATCCTACTTTGGCGAGTTGTCAAAGAGCTGAAAGGAAAATGATTGGTATGAAGAAACCCCACATCCCAGGATGTGCCTCATATACATATGCTTGACAGTTCATTTTGTTGGGCATGAAATTCCGTTTAACCCAAAACAAAACAGACCCAATCCCGATTCGTGTTTTAGAAGGCTGTGGCATTGTGGGTTTGTTATGGCCAACGCCGAAGACACGCCTGGGAGGGCGAAGCCAAAGCGTTTAATTCAATCTCACTGTGAAATATTACGGAAAGGCCACGTGGGCCTGTCAGAGTGGCAGCCCGCCGACCTGGCCCACCTTGCGGAAAGGACGAATAAATTTGCAAAACTTTGGCCAACTTTCACTTTTCACTTCATTTGACGCGAATTTTGGCGCTCCTTTCAAGCGGTGGTGCCCCCGCCTGTTGTCTCTGCGGCCGTGGGGCCGTTCTGTCGTGCTGTCGCGGTGTCGCGGTGTCGCGGTGTCGTGTTGCCGTCTTGTGTGGCACACACGATGGATTCGCTGCCGTTTTGTATACTAATGGGCAACGGCGATGGCAGGATGCCAAGCAGCTGCGTCCTCAGGTCCTGTGGGAAGACCACTCTCTCTCTCTCTCTCTCTGTGATTCTCTGGATCTGTCGCTCTTTCTCTTCGTTCGAGTGCGCGCGCAGTGTCCTCGGGAGAGGACTCCCTCCCTCCCCCATCCCTATTCCCCTGCCTGGCTTGTTTATACCAACAACTGTAGGAGCCAGCAGCGGGAAGATTGTGTACAGCACAAGTCGTTGATTGTTGTTGGTTTGCTGTTTTCGGTATGTGCCTCTTGTTGCAACTGCAACTGCAACTGCCTATTGCACATCGCTTGAACTTCTCCAGCAGCGGAGCTCTAGGAATTTAGAAACTTCATGCTTGGCCAGACCAAAAGTCCCTTCCCCAAACCCAGACCACACCAGATCCATATGTGATTGCCCCTCATCCTCTTTATAGCGTGGCCAACACGCCCACGAAATGACTTTGAAACAAATTCATGTTGGCCTTTGGCTCCGGCTTCGACTCTGGCTCTGGCTCTGGCATTGGCCACTCGCATTAAAGCCAGAAGTTATAGCCTTCTTTGGCAAACAGAAATAAATTATTCCAAATAATATATGTTTATACATATGTACTCCATGTATCCATGTATTGCCCATCAAGTTGACTAATTTGATGCTTTCAGCTTAGTGTCTGTCAATGGGTCTGTAATGGAGGCCAAACAAATGGCCAGAATGTGGGTGAAAACTTCGGAGATTAATACGCAATCGATTTAAATCATTTCGAGAATATCGAATCGTGAACAACTATCCAGAATATGCAGAAACCAGGGGAATTTTGGGAACAGCTTGGTTTATTTAATGCAGCTTGAAGCTGGGATCACTATAGTCGACTATTCGAATATAGCTTTCTTACTTGTGGGTCTTATGTAAGCTGTGGCCTTGTGATTCGGTCTCCTTTCACGCCAAATGCGAATTTAATCCTCACTATGGCCTCCGTCTACGCGGTTTTCTATTATTCGATGGCGGCAAGATATGGGGACAACTCTTGAAGGATCTCTTCCTTTTTCGACAATGTCCATCTTTGGTCATTCGCTCGTCGCGCAAACAAGGTGACCCTTCTGTCCTACTGGCTGGCTTCATGGTCTGGCAGAACCCTTCAATCATATGGTAGCCGGGCCTGCAATCCTTCAGCGCAGTCTCTGATATTATATTAGGATCTTGACATGCGTTGCAGTACTCGATTTTGTTTGGCGGGCAATCCAGTGCTTGGCCCAACACCAAGAAAGCGAGGACGCCAAGGTGCAGCAGCAGCACCTTCATCTTCGGGCGATTGAATACGCGGCGATGAATTCTGTTGGCTTTTATACGTTTATTTCGGATCACTATTTCACGCTCCATTGGCCACGGTCAAAATTGAGACATTCCCATTGGTTCCGGCAAAACGAGGAACGTAATAGCTTGTAAAATAGCTTCCAGTCACGGTTTAATGCAAAAAGAAACGTTCCTTAATTTGTTAAAATAATAAAATAACATTTCATCGATCGCTCGGCCCTCTATTGGCTCCTTACTCCCTCTGATGTAGCTCTTGGCTAACCCAGGCTATGCAGATCTTGGTGCTGTTTCAAACCCTAAACCAAAGTTTTGCCGGTACGATGGTAAACATTAAGATGGGCATTCTAGTGCTTATAAAGGAGCTGACGGGAACCATAAATGTGCAAAACCACCTGTCGCCGTACTTTTCTCTTAATTTTAATCAGTTTAAGTCAGTAATTAATTCGATTGACTTGTCGATGGCATAATTAGAGGCCAGCATTTTTTCTACTGCCTTCTACTACTATCTTCTTCCTCCACGTTCTTTTCGATGGCAATTACCGTTCGCAAATCCAACTATTTGCATACAAGTTTTTGGATCTAATGGATCTAATGTTTGGGCCAGCACCAGCAAAGCAAGGACGATGTTTGAGCGATTGAAGGCCTGGGCTGATTTTAGTTGATTTTTATACTTTGACAGCACATCGTTCACGGTTCATTTGAATGAGTTCCGGCAATGCCACGGACAAACAGTCCGGTATTGCCGTAACGAAACAAAAACTGTGACGGACGTATTAAATGAATACATTTATAAATACTTATGTACTATGGATGTTATTCAACCCATTGTAGCTGGCTAATTGGCACATAATTAGAGTTCTTTCTAATAGTATACGAACTATGGAAATGAAGAAAAAACTTGTCGCAGTACTTTTGGATACTGTCTTCTCAGTTTAAGTCCATACGATACAAACAGATTGTGATTACTTATCGAAAAGTTACGGGCTACTCGTCGACGGCCTTGGTTACAGTTCTATATATCAGAATGTATCCATAGGAGGATTCTAATGTTCTAATGAACGGGAAGTGTAAGTGCTGGTTTACGGCAGCGGTTATTGGTCGTAGGGTTTTTTTCTAGGCGGGCATCTTGCTGGATAAGGCTGATATACGTATCTATTGAATGTATATAAATATGGACTTTACTGTTCAAATCTCAAATATGTTGTTCGACCGACCGTAGGTATTTACAGAGGGGCGGAATTTGGTTTCTTTTCATACGTTTAAATCGATCACGAATCATTTGTTATGGATACAAAAAAAAATATAAAAAATAAACGTAGCACAAAAATATGGTCGTGATACAACTAGTTCCTCAATTTGAAGGTCATTGACACAATCTTAAAACCGCTAAGTATTATCACAGTATCGTATCCGTAAGATGCACACCTAAGCAAACAGTAGTTATCTACATATTTATATAGTAAATACACCCAGACCTAATAAAAGACGCTGAGTCCCGAATAGTTACTCTTAGATTTAAATATTTATGCCATTCTATTTGCCCCGAGAGTCGAGAAATTAACCAGAATGCTTTCCTTTACCTTAATATGAAAATAATAATAAAGTAAATATATTTCAAATTTAAAGTAAATATTTTCCTCTTTAAATTACTTTTACTTCCTATAAATTTAATATAATATATTGATTTTTGGGTACTTTATATTTAGTTTAAATATTTATATTTAAATCAAAGTTAATTCTATTTCATTTCGTTTATGTATTTAGTTCAAATATAGGTTGGTTTCTTTTGACTATGGCCTTTTTCCCTCAGTGTATACATAGCCTTGGATCTGCATGAACTGCAATGCAGAAACAGCAGCAGCTTGAAGCCCCTTCGTAAAGCCATGTATCAGAACCAGATGACTAAATACTAGCCATCATACGAGCTACGAAGTTTACTTGAGGAAAAGCTTCAGAAATTAACATAGGGGGGGGCTCTACCCCGATGCTCGACTCCCGGTACTCTTGTAAGATCTCTCAATTTCGTTCTTTTTCGCTTAGCGAAATCTCCAAGAAATGGTCGAATCTTCGAATGACTACTTCTTATATATTATTTATTGAAGATAGTTTTCATCTACTTGTTAGACTGGTAGATTTGTCGATTTATTTTTTGGCCTTTGCGAGAGCCATTCTTTTATGTGTTTTGCATATCAGCTCAACACTTAGCACTCCCAGAGCACTCGACCCCCACTCCAACTCCGACTCCGCCTCCGCCTTAAGAGTGGGGGGCAGGAGGGGGGACCCGAGTTGTGTATTCAACGAAATTATCATCTCGCTGTGCACGCCTCGTCCTCGTACGTGCCGCCGCCTAGAAAGGACGAGCTGATGTCTGTCCTTGGGCCATGGATGGAGAGCTTCACATTTTCAGACCCATCCACCCCCGACCCGGACCCGGATCCGGACCCTGGCCCGGCCCCCATGGTCAAGCTGCTTATCTCATGCAAAACACTGGTTGCTTTAGCGACGAAAAAGCCAAATGGAAAGACTCGCCAAAACAGGAACTGGGGCAAAAAATTGCAAAAGTGAAATGTCGAAATCTTTTCCAGCCAAACGAAAGAACGGAAAAAAACGCCTCAAAATTATACACAAGTTTTGGTGTTGCCGAGTTGTGACTCTGCCTCAACAAGTTCCATGTTGGGCCTTTTGGCCAGACTTAAAGCCAGCAAGCCTTTGGGTGGAGGCCATAAACCATCCAGGCCATCCAGGAACTGGAATTGGCAATACCTTGGTACATGCATAAAAGGCCAGAGTGGAGGGCAAAGGCAGTTAAAAGCCAGTTTTATATTCATTACAACAAGTCTAGCAGCAGGAGCAACATCAACAATTTACGACTCCGGACCGGGTGGGGGGCCGACTTCTTTTATGGTCACCACACAGAGCACACCTCTCTCCCACTCTCCCTCTCGCTGTCACTATGTCTCTCTGTTGTCCTGTTCAAGCGCACCCACACACACACACACACACAGCCTTATACATATACATGCATACACGCACGCGAAAACTCTGTCAAAATGGCCGATGGCCAAACTCTAAAAAACTTCCGACTTCTGTTGCTACTCTAGCCTGAGACTGTTCTTTGAATGGGCTGTGAATCCTAGAATGCTATTTATACCAGCCTTAATCGGAGCGATTAAATGTTTCTCAGATATATGTTTCAGATATATGCTGAAAAGCAAGAGTACATTTTCCAGATATTTAATCATATTTTCTTAATTAAATTATTCATTAAGACAATTAAAATTAGTTTTTGCAACAAGTTTTCAGAAAATTGTTTGGCTTGCATTTTTGTTGCGAAAGTTTATAATTTTTAAGTTGTATTATTCACGCACAGTCGTGCGTTCAAGATACACAGATTAAAGTGAAATCATAAATAAGTAATGCCACTGAATGCCAGAGGATGTGGGTAAAGGGATCTGCCCTACCATGCTATGTACATGCTCGTATGAACCCTTCTCTTGGCGTTGTATCTCAACAGTTTTAATGGTGCAAGTGGCAGCAGCAAGCCGTGTTAGCTAGCCCCAACGGAGGTTGTGTAAGAGTGAAGCTAACGGCAAAATTATTGAAGGACGAGTCCGCGCCCCCATACACACCGTAGACACACCTAAAGCGGAGCCCCGACTCGACCTAGACAAGAGCAAGCAGTACAGAACACTGCAGTGCAAAAAGCGAAAGTAATGGGCAGGGCGGAAAACTTTTTCTCTCGCTTAACTAACTCAACGAGAACCCAGATGAAGCCCAACTCTGCTCAGCTCATTCTGAAGGACTTTCTGGTTCACAGAGTTCTTTTTTTTAGTTATTTTTTGTTGGTTTTTTCGGCTCCTGCAATTGCCTATTTGTTTTGCGCTAACAATTAAACGGCAACGAAAAGTTTGTGGGTTGGTAAATTGCTTTACACGCCACTTGAACACGCAGGCAACGAATGGCGGCCGCCGATCGAGTTTAATTAAATTAAAAAATACTAGACAATACCAGAGGGCCCAAGCCCAGGCCGAAACCGAAACCGAAAGGAAAACTTCCAAACAATTCAAGAACTTCTTTACTGAACATCCAGCACGGCCTAAACAAAGAGCTGAGCACCGCCAAGACAAGATATTGAAAAGGTATAGTACCCCCCTAAGAGATTTACCAAAGATTGTCCAAATGTAATTGTTAGAAAGACGCAACTAGTTCTTCAAATGTCTGTGGCTTTTTCACCTAGAACTTCCTTATGGAAACAGAGCCCGATACCCCAGTATCCTCCACAGACAGTAGCCCGAAGTAGGTGACACAGAGCCCATCAATTATGTTCAGTAAAACATTTCAATTCGAACGTTATCGGGGACCAAACACTGCAATTATTCAGCCCACAGGGCATATCGCATGGCGGCTAGTTCGGTGAGTGGCGAAAATAAGAGAAAACTGAAATTGTTAAATTGTTAAATTCGGGCACTCTGGTGGGGCATTCGATCAGGCCGTTGCTGGCCGTTTGCCATTCAAGTGGCACGCATAAACGAAGCTGCCTGATAAGAGATACATTTTTTTTACATACTTTCGGTTAAAGTTACTGCGACGACAGCCACAAAAACAACAAGATGACGACGAAGGAGACGAGGAGACGAGGAGGATATTGCTATTTGCACTTGACACGCACTTCGGGATTTAATTTAATTTAATTGAATTTAGTTTAATTTATTTAACACATTAACATTTATTTGATTAGAACACACAGAAACATCCAAGCTCTTTAGATTATATATATTTTTGCACGGTGAATTATCTATATTCTATATATTTTGACTATATTTATGGGGGATTTGTTGAAGCTACTGTTGCTGTTTCTTCAGTATTTGGTTTGATATTTTTGTGCTGTGAGTGTGTTAACGAAATGAGGAAAGATTGTCTACTGAGTGTGCAGAGCTGTTCGGAGTCGCGTCGAGCCAGAGGACCAGAGAGTGGCGTGGCTTTCGGCGTGCCACCGATTGTGTGCGTATGTGTGATGTGCGTCTCGGGTTTCCTTTTTCCTTGGGAAAGTGCGCGCGCAAAATGGCTTCGGCATCGGCATCGGCAAAGGCCCCACAACAGCTGTGCTGCTCCAGCTGCTGCCGAGAGACGGAAAGTGCGCTGCCGCCGAGAGCGCAGGCCCAGTGAAAGAGCGGGTCAGTGCCAAAGTGAAAGTAGTTTTGTTGATTAACATCCTTCAGAGTTTACCCACATTAGAAAGGTCGCCAATTTCACTGATAATAGCTTTTCTCGCTGCTGGCAATGCTGCCATAAGCTAGTGGGAGAGCCCCAGCAGGCACAGAGCGAGAGAGAGAGAGCCAAAGAGGCAGGTAAAGAGAGAGAAAGCAGACAGGAAGTGACTTTGGTAAGTGGCATTTCCCCAAACAAATTCAAGAGGCCACAAGTCCATTCGCCAGAAAATAAACCAAAAGCAACTAAAATATGCAAAGATTGAGCTTCGAATTGAATCGAATGGAGAATAGTGTACAAAACCTAGCTATTCCGGCAGATCTGCATTATTAGAATAAGTTAGAATAAATATTTATTTGAATATTTGTCGATGGTCTTGTAGGTCTCTGGGTCTCATCATTATCTAGGAATATTTAAGATGAATAAATGCCTTATAAGCTTACTACTTTCATAATTAAATATATTTTCATGCTGTAGCTGATCGATTCTTAGTTCCAAGGCCCAGAAATCGTGACAGATCATCTTTTGCAGCTCTCGAATCCCCTGCTTTTGATTCCACTAAATTCTGTCTGCGTTAAATACAAACCAGTCCCGGAAACACTTGAAATGGGTATCTGTGCTCACGAAGGGGATGCAACTAGTGGATTTTATTATAAGCTTCGGTAGTGGGTATCCTACAGTCGGCATATAAACTATAGTATTGTATAGTGCATCTTAGAGCACTTGTTATAAGTGAGACTGTAACCCACACCCAAAACGTGACGATATATCGCGAGCGATAGATATCTGAGAAGCTCAGTTTTTTAGAATCGAAATGATTTTGGCTTCATTTCCATGTCGGTTGCTACGCTGAACATGAAGCCTCTTCTACAGAAGAAATATAAACAATCAACTATTGTATATAACCCGGTGCAGTCGAAAACTAGCTTCAGTTAGCGAAATCTGTTGAGATGTGGAACAAACCAAGCCTGGGAATCTTTCTCCTCTATCTGATGGCCAGCGGGGGGAACGCGTTGCCCGCCGACGTAGCCAGATACAATAAATTGGGGTATGTCCTTTTAAATCAAACAATAATTGCAGCCCAAAACTCAATCTACCGACAGACAAAGCCCAACAAAGCCAGCCAGCCTGAACTGCAGTGCGGCGACCACGACCAATCGGTTGGGTCTGGACACTGAGAGCACCCCGTCGCCACCGGAATTCGAGTACGCCCTGCTCGGTCAGGATCCTAAGGATCAGCATTGGTATCGCGTCAGTCTCACGCCCACGAAGAACCAGACGGGGTATCGGGCCCAGTTCGCCACCCGGAAGCAGCCGCCCTTCGACGACCAAGTGGCACACAAGCATGACAGGACCATTGGCGAGCTGCTGGATTGGCTGGACCATTCCGAGGAACGCAAACTCCTGCAAGTGTACCGGGACGTGTTGGACGACGAGCAGAGGGAAACAAATCAAAGGCTAGATAATGAAGTCCGCAGTGAAAGCGACTTAAGGCCCACAAAGAGCAACCATCAGCTGCACCTGGTGGGAGAGGAGACGACAACCCCGGCTCAAAGTCCGAATGAAAGTGAGCCGCAGGCAGTCCAGAACTTTGTATACTTTATAAAGGGACTGGAATGATTCCGAAGAAAAGCATTTTCCGATTTTAATTTACTCCAAAACTTTTTGACAATGAATTGTTTGAAACCCTATTCTGTTCTTAAAAGAAATTTTATAAATCTGCATATAGAAACCAAATAATATTAGTAAAGTTCCTTTAAATTTCCTACACGAAACTTTCACCACAGAACAGCAGCTTTCTACCACACGCTCTCTTATACAGGGGCTCTCACATTGAGAAAGGCAAAGACCACCGCCAGACCCTTGTGCGATTGCAGAACATGGCCAAAACGAGGCCTCGTCGAAGAGTTAACTGACACTTGCTGCTCCACTTGGAAGACCATGGCCCATTTCGGGACTTTGAAGCGTGGAAATAAAAGCAGAGAAACGAAACACCCCGAACATGACACGAATCGGATGGTCTTTGGTGGTACCAATAGAATAGGTTGCCCTGCTTTTCGATTCAGAGCCACTTGGTACTGCGAGGTGTAGCCCTGATCCTAGAAGCAACAGTAGGACAGATTATTCACTCGAATATAGCTCCAGCCTCCGCTGGAGGCAGTTGCCTGGGACGACAGCGGCAGCCCAGTGGTTGCTCTAGAATTTCAAACATTCTATTAGCAGACACAAAAATCCAAATCTGTCTCTACACCAAACGAAATTTTAAAAGCTGCTATGCTTGCCATCAGCTGTTTATCATTCTCTTTTGGGAATTTTTCATTAATTTCATTTCGCAAATTTAGCATTCGGAAAGTAGTGAAAGATTGTTTACTCGACAAGCTCGGTGGCCCATAAAAAAGTGGAGGAAATATTTCTAATTGTCGCTTTTTGTTGGCGCTGCAAAACGTAGACTCTGGCAGAGTGGAAGGGGTCATTGGGCATTGCGGTTGACTCGGCATTTTCCGCGAGCTACAGCCAGTTAAGTGAAGTTATCCAGTATATAAAGCAGTCGGGGCCAGCCGAAGAACATCGCAGTCCGCTTCCAGCCAGTCTAAGAAGTCAACACACAGTCGAAAGCCTAATCGAAATGAAGTTCGTCGCTATTATCGCCACCATTTGCCTGCTGGGCACATCCGTTGCCGCCGAGAAGAGGCAGACCGTGGGCTCGGCCTACGGCGGTGGATACGAGAAGCCGGCAGCAGCTCCGTCCTACTCTGCCCCAGCAGCTCCATCCTACTCTGCCCCCGCAGCTCCGTCCTACTCTGCCCCCGCAGCTCCGGCGTACGCGGCCGCACCCGCTGCTCCTGCCTACGCGGCCCCCGCTCCGGTGTCCATTCCGGCCCCACCTTGCCCGAAGAACTACCTGTTCAGCTGCCAGCCCAACCTGGCTCCAGTCCCATGCAGTGCTCCGGCGCCCAGCTACGGATCCGCCGGCGCCTACTCGCAGTACGCCCCTGTCTACGCACCCCAACCCCTCCAGTGGTGAGGAGAGGAGATTAGAAGCATCCAAAAGTGGAAAATGACAACAATAAAAAAATATTTATTATGCAACATAAACTTTTGATTCATTTGTATAACCGGCCCTCAAAGAGTAAAAGGATAAGCATAAGGATATTGGATGCCCACAGATTTTACCCCAGAACCACCTACACTCTTTTAGTACTGCTGTAAAAATCACATTTCTTTTTGAATCAGCTCTTTGCCGTTCCCAATGTATTACAAAAAACACAATAATTTATAATATTTGCGTTGACGGCAGAGGCGAAGGATCAACAGGAGCCCAAAACAGAGCCAAATGCACAGAATATACGGATAGATAGGAGCTTTTTCTTCATCTTCTGTTTTTAGAAGAATCACAATGTCCCGATAATTTAGATTTTCCCGACAGTGTCTACACTCCATGTCCACAAAGTCATCCTCAATTGCCCATGGCCAACCATGCGCCGACTTCAACGAAAACCCGAGCATCTGCATCAGCAAGCAGAGCTCCAAGTAGTACAATATGCGGTGCATAAAACAAGAGTGAAATTTGTGTTGCCTCTATCCCGAAACGACTGAAGGCATACACGACAAGCCTGGTCGTTTTATAGGCTAATCCCACGGATCGTATCACATCGCCACTACCGCCCTCCTCCGTCTGGTCAAGCGAATTCCGGGAGTTGTAATGCAATCCGATCAAAGTCAGAAGCAATCACACATTTACAGAATAATACGATGAATTACGATGAATAATCTTTGTTTATATAGCACTCGAAACTCTGGTCTTTAAAACTAAATTATGGTGTAAATTCAAAGCAGCTGTGGGTCCTAACGTTTCCAAAACCATCCTACATTATTGCTCAGCAGCAATAGCATAGTCGATAATTGCCATATTGCGGAGAAGAGGGAGTGAGAGAGGTATGGATATAGTCTAATACTATCTTCATTCATCGATATTCTTCAAGGAAATGCTTAATTTCTTGATAAATTAATCGCTTCCGAAGACTGAATACCTAAAAACTGTGCCATAATTTGATATGGCTAAGAAATCCGAATAATATGAACATACGATGTGTCAATGAACTGCCTGATAAAATCGTTGGTAAATAACATATAAATCATTATAAGTAACGAAAAGATAACGCAAGATGTACGTATTGACGTCGATAGAACTCAATTGAAAACATAGATAACTTCAATAAAGCTTAGCAATAACTAACAATAAAGTCAAAATATTCGATTGATGGAAAAGAAAACTAAAAAGTATCTAATGCGATATAAGATATATCGTAACGCTGAACATCAGAACTTAAAAGACCGTTTAAAGGGCACTTTGCACGGAGATGATAATTATTTTAAAAGTTATTCAAAATATGTTTATTCACTATAAGTTTTTCTTTAATTGCATCTTTCTAGTTACCACATCAGTGATTAATAAGTATTTGTATAAAAGAAACAAAAAAAATGGCCTACGTAATTAATTTGCTGCAGGAAGCAGCCGAAGCACTTGGAAACAGCCTACCAAAGGGCTATTACTACATAATATATATATGAATTGAAATGATAATGGCAAATGTCTCAAAACGTGAAGAGTTCGAAGGGAATTAAATTCGTTTTACTCTGATAAATAACGTGTGGAAATCTAATCGAAGATATCTCTTGCAGGGCTTCTGCATGAAATCTGTTATCTATCCCTCAATAATCTTCAGGTTCGACAGCATCGTCATAGAACCGGGCAGCCTGTAACTGTTTGCGGATGGCTCCCACCTGAGTGAGGATTTTGGGCGATGAGGTGGAGACAGAGAACTTTTGCACAGCGGGAACCTGAAGAATACAAATAAGAATTTTCTTTTCTTTTCCTTCCCGAGCCAGTCGTTAGCTCAAATTTCATTAAACATACCTCCCAGCGCTTTTTGAGACTGTCGATGCCCCGCTGTCCATTCACGGGCAATGTGGCGCCCGTCTCTTTGCGCGTCATTTTGGGCATTTCACGCAACAGCGGCATCGATAGATTATGCCCAGGGGCCTCTCTCAGGACCACATCGCGTCTGGCCAAAGACTGCGGCATTGTTTGAGTTCCACGGTGACGGGATTCACTCTTGCTGCGGTGCAACTGCAACTGCTCCTGCTCCTTCTTGATGAGCTTCCTTTGCTGCTTGGAAGCCAGATCTCCGTAGTTTTGGAGATAGCGCGATAAGCGCTTGTCCGTTTGTCTCCGAACCCTCTCCATGGCCTGCTCGTCAGCGCTGTCAAGCTCAAGGCTAGCGTTGGCACTCCCCGAAAACGTCGGCAGCTCCTCCACAAAGGACGGCTTGACAGGCGTCGACTTGTAGTCGGAATGGAACACGGAGTTACGTGCAATGTTGATGGAATAGGGAGGCGATGCGTCGGATTGCATCAGGTTGCTGGCCGTTGACTCCTTAGCTGCTGGAACCGCATAATTCAGTTCCAGTACTCGAAAGGCACTGTCCGAATGTGGCTGCCGGTCCGCATCCGTCTCATTGATATGTGTCCGCTCCGTGTTGCGGCCGCAGGCAACCTCCTCGAGGCAAAACGAGCACAAGTTGCGGCGACAGTTCATGCAGACATTCCGCTCTCGCTGGCACGCTCGACACACATCGCTCTTGGCCAGGCACTGGCTGCACATGGCGTACAAGCGCTCGCACTTGTGGCAGACCAGGGCATAGCTGCTCTCGCAGTTGTGAATGGGGTCGCCGTCTGGATCACGCGGCGATTCCTCTTCCTCCTCTCCGATTTGATCCTGGGACTGCTGTTCGTTGCCGTTCTCCGTCTGCTTCAGTTTCACAGCCAGCTTTCGCTGGCACCGCAGACAGCAGCTCTCGTAGCTCTTCAGGGGCTCATCGCACAGCGGGCATATCTTCTCGCACAGATGGAAGCACTCTCGTTCGATCTTGGCCATTTGCGGCAGCTCAAAGTCCAGCTCAACGGCCGGCGGCAGCGGCTGGCCACGTCTGTACTCGTGGTGAGCAGAGTTACTAAAGTATTTATACACCTTGTTGGCGGTGGCTTCGGTGCTAATATTATTTGTGCTGTTGTGGATGTTTTTACTCCGATGCGATCTCGGTGTTTCGGCCAGGTTGTTGCTCTCCTTGACCAGCAGCAGCTGTGCGTCCTGCTCCAGCTTGGCCAGCAACTGGTCGCGCATCAAGCGGTTATGTTCCGAGTCAATGCGAGCCTGACAGCACAATAAACGGAAATAAATATAGAGCGGATTGGTCGAGTCGAAAGTAAAGTGCAGTTAGCTGCCATTAGGTGCGATAATATTGCTCGGCTAACACAAATCAATTACAATTCACTTTACCTGTCGAGCGGCTTATGTATTCTCAGGCAGCAGATCGTAAATCTAATGGTGGTGCCAATCAGAGGCTATTGAATTTAATCGGATATTCGGAAACGCCATCAAAATCTAGCTGTATAAATACACTCAAGGCTCCATATTACGCTGCGTTCACCTCAACCCAAAGGTGTATTAATAGTTTTTGGTTCAATAAATAAATGGCAGCCATAACTAGAGAATGTTTGGGCCACTCCAATCCCGTGTTCCGCTATCTACTCGTATCCTATAGCCCCACTGTGCAAGGGAAGCACAACTAACTACACCATTAAATAAATAAAACTAATATCAAATCAGGTTTTACCTTTTCATTTCGCACGCGCTCCTTTTCCAATTGCTCTTCTAGCTTAATGGTTTTTAGTTGTGTCTCCAGACGTCTGTTGAGGACAAAAAGAAGGAAGCATTAAAGATTTCGGTTTCACAAAGAGAAAATACTCGATAAAAACCCACCTGGTGAGTGCCTCCTCCTGTCGACGCTCCTTCTCCCTGAGCAACTCTATGGAGCGGCGCTTCTCCTCAATCTGTAGCATTAGATCGCGTTGATAATCCTTTTTGCGGGCCGTCTCCAGCTCGGCACTACGCAGATTACGCTCCATAATCCCGTCGCCCGTCACAATATTCGACAGCTCCACATGGCCCAGGTCCTGCAGCAGCTTGTTACGTGTGCTGGTCGAACGGACTTTGGGCGGCACATAGTTCGGGTTACTATTTACAATTAACTCTAAGTCAGTCTTGTCCGTGGTGCTGTGATTCGAGGTGCTTGTGCTGGATTGGCTGGATCGCGCCAGTGTGGAGGCCAAAGCTGGAGCTGGCGCTGGCGCTGGAGCTGGTGGCGGTGGCGGTTGCGATGGCTTCCTCACTTGTCCCGGTCGCTGGTGCTTTGTGACCGGCGGATGAAGCATCTGCAAGGGTTCAAACATTAGGCGCCAGCTCGTAAAATTCACGCTGATTACCATAACAAGGCATTCCGCACATAATCGGAATATTTTTACGGCAATCTCTCACCTGGTGCTTGAGAAAGTTCTGCTGGTTCTCGCGCTGTCGCTCACGCAAATAAGTTTGCCGTTTCTGATTTTCATTGTTAAAGCCGGGGAAATACGAATAAAATGTGTCCGTAACCCATTGCTCCATATCATCCTGCACGGAAAAGAGAAAACTAATGTGAGTGGGCGGCCTTTACACGAGTATATATACACATATATGTATGTATGTATTTATTATATAGCTCTTGTCGCGCGCTTTCTTTTTCTAATTTTCTACGTTTCCTTCGGCGACACTAACCACCAGCAGGAAGCTTGTGTACATTTTCGTATGGCCGGTAGGGCCAGCAAAGCCAGCAAATTATTCTAGCTCCGTGTTCCCTCTGCTTTTGGGGTCAGCAGCACTTTCCGCAGGAGCAAGAGCAGGAGCAGGAGCAGGAGCCGGAGCTGCTCTAGCGAACACTCCACAAAGCCTACTGCCATTTGGCACATAATTTTTATGCCGTCGACGTCGCAAATCGCGTGCACCGATGGCATCAAAAAAATTATATACAATCCAGAGACCAGAACCAGACCAATCAATGGCCAGGGATTCGAATGGAGAAATCCCCAGTAAAACCGAAGAGAGGTGCGAAAGTAAATAAAGTCTTGATCAATAACTCTTCTACCCTTCAGATGATTGTGTCAAGAGATAAATAATATTACCAAAGCACTACATTGGTATTATTCCCATAGTTTATAAGTAAGATTGAAGCAGCCCTAAAGCGCTTTTAAAAAGTGTGACAGGTGAGCCGAATATTCCTCATTGGAAACGTTAAGGAAGAATCATCAGAAACCAGACGAAGGGTTCGTTCGTAGCACGACTGGAGCCGCTCTCTGAGAGTGTCTCAGCCAATGGCACTTTATCAACCAGGCCCAGCTGTTTCAGCCTGCTCTGGCTCTTCTGGGCTCCACTTCTGCTTATTGGCTGCATGCAGTGCGCTTCACTCTCTATTAGCCCGGATGATGGCCACTTAATTAAAGCTCCCCTTAACGTTTTCATCATTGCAGTGGCGGAGAGAAGAGCTAAGCATAATTAAGAGCCATTTGCGAATGAGAGGCTTTTTCAGAGTGGGACATTCAGTGCCGCAACTAAGGAAGAAACATACATAATATAAGCCTATAATTCAGGTCAAGGAAACTATCAAAATGAAGACTTCAAATCCGACGGCTGGAACGGGGTGGCCCGTCTAGAGCTAGTTTGGGTCACGCAGTTCATCTCAGGCAGGGGGCCAAGAGGTGGCAGGCAATTTGGAGGAGGCGCTACAGTGGGGTGCATAGGCACATTGAGAGACTCACTCGATTCCACATTATGTTTCACATGTAATCAAGAAACGGCTATACTTCTTCAGCGAAAAGTACTATCGGTTTGACACTCTCATTAGGACCTTTCCCACATTGACGTACTCCACAGTAGTCCCTTGTACTTCCATGGTCTGTTTACTACGCCCATTCATTGGATTTGGTTGCGTGCCGGCTGGAAATTGGGTTAACTAAGTGCCAGCTTCAGCCAGTGGGTGTACGAAAAGTGCGAAAACTAATGAACCTCAACTGGAATGGAATCATCTGTCGCCACGCAGTAGTGAAAGAGCGTAAGTTCAAGGACGGACGATGGAATTTAAATTGACTTTCATCCCTATTCGAAGAGTGCATGCCTTTTTTTTAAAGGTTGTTCAGTCGTGATGGAGTGACCTCAAGCTATCCTACACTCGAAGGGTGGCTTAATTAAACCCTGTCGTTGACAACCTTGTCCAGGTCATGACTTTCGTTCACAGTACATACACCCATGTGTATGTATGTTGGTCGATATTAGAGTTGGGAAGTTTGTTCAACTGGTTCTGTCCCTTAGCTTAAATTAGTCAGTGTTAAATAAATGTAAATCTTATTGTAGATAACATCACAAACGGCTAGATCTGTGTGGGTGACGGCCCAAAGGTCCAATCGGATGAAACTGTTTGTGGCTTTAGATCAGAGATATAATAGAACTGAGTTTGCAAGCACGTGGCAGTGGCAGTGCCATTAAATATACAATATAGTATGCATACACGCAGCAGAAATAATTATTCAGTGCAGCCCATGCATTCGTTTGAGCTCCTCTCTGAGCCGAACCTTTGTCCCACCTCCAATATCCATTATCATTACCAATTAATGAGAGGCGCCATAAGGCGTCGCTGACAGTTGGGCGTGTCGTGTCCTACACATGTGTCCTCTACGAGGAAGTGAGTCGGCAGAACAAAAAGCCACTTCGGGCCACCTGGGCACTTTGTCAACAGTATTGCATGACTAGGCGCTCCTAATTTTGAATCAAATTTTAAATCACTCGCTAAAAGGAATATAAGAAAGAACAACAGAAAGAAGAGAAGGTACAGCGTGTTCTGGCATTAAGGCAAGGCCCTAATCCCTTTGGATATCCGATAACTTGGGATACAATCCCATCTTTCTTGCAATGCTAAACAAAATTCTTGTTCATGTTAGATATTTCGGGTTATTTCCAGGGACCACTGACACGTTCATAGCCGTCATGCGATTTCATATTTTTACGTTTTAGTTTTCCGAACCGTTAGTAAGCATATATTTAGAAAACGTTCAATTTTTCATTGTTTGTTTTGCGTCACTTTGATTTTTGGGTTAACTCGCGGCATGGCCAAATTTAGTCAATTAGAGGGCCCATTCATTTGGTTCCGTTCGATGGTTTTGATTTGCCGGTAATCAGGGGCAAGCGGCAGGCCCCTCACCACGTGTACGTATACCTCATTTATATATACAAATATAATGTATGGAGAGCAATTTCAAGTTCAGGCCAAACAGAAGCAAACGCAACAAACGAGCTTCAAATTACAACTGAGAGCGGTGCCAGCAAATTCATTAAACGAATGGCTCGTCCACAGCAGAGCCAAAATGGTAACTGGAGCACGGAAGGGGCGAGCTAACAGCGCTAGCAGAACCAACAACAATGGGGCATGCAACATTGATAGCGGAAGGAAACGGGGCCACGCCGAAAACGCAACAAAGCACGGAAAAGTCCAAAGAACTAAATGCTGAATAATTAAAATGCCCAACTAATTTCGCTATACTCACATGCCCAGGGCCTGGAGGCAAGCGTCCAGACAGTCCCCTCAACTTAGAGGGTAGGATGCGGACCTGGACAGGCAACGATTTGCCAGCCAGCTCGTCAATAAGCCAATAAATAATGCATATGGAAATTGAAAAGTGAAAGGGTGGAAGGGTGGAAAGGTGGAAAGCTGGCGGCAAACAACAAGTCTACAAAAACGCTAAATCTATCAACAAACTGACAGCAAAGTGTACAACGTTCTATACAACAACGCTAGTTAATTAGTTTTGAAATACATTGCACGCTGAACGATCTCTAACGAAAAGAAATTTTATGACTTAAGCGACTTATGACTTATTTAAATTAGTAATTACTTAATCATTTCATATAGAATGAATCAAGAATTACAAATTTAAATAATCTTAATAATTTAAATAATCTTTTAGCCGTATGCCTTTACAGCAAGCAGACGGACATGGTCTTAAAAGACTCACCAAGGTGAACACAGAACAAAAGAGGATAGAACACTATAAAATCTTGTATGCAACTGATACTCGAATGAGGATTACGAAAGATATCAGGCAGAGCTTCGGTTTTCAGATTTCTTCCAGCAGCTCAACGAGGCGTAAAGAAACGAATTTCGCACATTTATGGCAATCTCCCAGATAATTGGCGATGAGCCACTGAAGCGCAACACACATTCTGGAGCACGTCGTGCTCGTCAATTTCCCAATTGTGGCCTCCCCACTCACCGTTCGTCGGATTGGCAAGCGATTCTCACTTAGCGGTCGCCCGCTTTCCAAATTGCGTCGCGACGACACATCTGGCGATTTGTATTGACGGGCGCTTCCAACGAGCAGCTGACGCTGGTTTGCGAATTCCTTAGTCGATTTGGATGGGCTGGCATTCCCCTCGGACACCCCATCAGGCTCACACAGGCGGCTCAAGTCCAAGTGAAGTTGTTCGCTTAAGTTTTGGTTGCCGGTTGCTAGGGAAGACGATTCCGACAGGAGTTCATTGGACTCCTTGGCCCTGCGCTGACATTGCACTGGCATGTAGTCGCTCTTTTGCATTAGCAGCGCGGCGGGGCATTTTTGTGCCGTGGAAAGACGCTCTCGGTCCTTCTCCAGTTGCTTGCGCTCCAAGGAAAGAAACTGTTGCAGGTCCATGTCTGAAAGAAACGCACTTTAATTCTCTAACCAATTCTGTTTACAACACAAACACACCATATTGAAATTGACCAGACCTGTGGCATTTGAAAACTTTTAAATGCGCACTAATATTTAAATGTAAACACGATTTGCAGTGTGACCGCGGACTTATGAATAAAATAAACCATTTTCTTTAATATATCTTTAAAAATACCGTGTCTACCCACCACACAAGTTCTTCTTCTTACTTTTGCTATGATTTTTGTTTAATTTTAAAGTTTTTAAAAATTGGACCAATCTCTTTTTCTGCCCGGAATCGCACATGTAAAATCCGATATTGAAATATATTGGAAAATACTAGAAAATACCATGAAAGCTAGATCTAGAATGGTGGCAAGAAAATAAGTGTGACTGCGGACTCATAATAAAATATACGGTTTTAACAAATCACTTTGTTCTTCATCCCTCGTTGCAGTAATTTACTAACGCGTCGAATGTTCAAACACAGTAACTTGGCGCCAAACTTAAATTTAAATTTCCAAAGCCCACAATTCACATCAATATTAATCAGATCAGTGCCTTGTCGTTGTGAAGCAACTACAATTTATATATTTTTTGTAAAGTACAACCGCAAGAATTGTAAGAGGACCAACCATGATGGGATTATTAGGAAATCAGTTCATATTTTCGCGGGAGCGCAAGCGTTTTGGACGCCAGTGCTTGTTTTCGGATCGGAACGAGCTGCTGCTGGCCGTTCACCCAAGTGGACGTCTCCGGCTGAAGTACGTTCTGCGAAACCCACGAGATAATAACTCACAAAAGAGCAAGCAGATGGCCTTGAGCACTGTGGTAACAGAGAACGTGACGTTGGACCAGCACGGCATGTACCACTACGAAGGCGGATGGAATGTGAAGGAGGTGAATATAATGGACGAGGAGTCCACGATGCGATACCGCAAGAAGGTGGAGCGTGACGACGCCTGGGGCGTCGAAGTGGCCCATTTATTGCGTGATTGTATGACGATGAGCTCACAGAACAACGCCATAAACATATATAAAGAATTCTTCGCTGATCTGGACGAGGACCTGGGCAGTGGCATTAGAATGAAGATAACGGCCAGAGCTATTAACATGTTCCACGACTTGTGGTATCCTCAAAGACACCTGTCAATGTGCGACTGGATGCCCAACAATCCCAAGCAGTTCTTGACCACATTTAACAACCGTCCATCAAATCCGAACAATCAAGCAAACACCGAATTTCCTGAATGGGGTAACGAGAACGCTTTATATCTCTGGGATATCAACAATCCGATTCGACCAGTTGCCTACTATGACACCAACGAGACTGTTGCACTGGCCAAGTTGTGCCCCAAGGACGAGAACTTCATGGCCGGAGGCCTGCATTCGGGCAAGGTGTGCCTATGGAATACCTCAGAGCTCGGCCAGCCGAAGGACATGTGTCCGCTGGAGGCGGCACACAGGGAGGTTACCTCGGCGCTGTGTTGGGTGCACTCCAAGTCCAACACGGAGTTCTACTCGGGCTCGCTGGATGGCTCCATCAAATATTGGGATACGCGAGACATGAAGATGTCCCTACAAGATCTGCTGCTCGAGCCATACCCCAAGGACATCCAGAACCGGGCGGATTCGCACGGTGTCACTGTCTTGGAGTTTGAGTACACCATACCAGTGCGCTATGTCATGGGCAGCGACATGGGGTGCGTTTTTGTGGGCAACCGCAAGGCCGCGACTCCATCGGAGACAATCCTCAGTCACTTCCAGATCTTTGCCGGCCCAATTCGCAGCATCGTGCGCAATCCGTTCTTCGTGAAGAACTTTCTGCTCGTGGCCGACTGGCGATGGCGCATCTGGTCCGAGGAGATCAAGAACTGTCCCAGCACCCTATACTTCTACAAGCGAAATCAGCTGACCTGCGGGACCTGGAGTACGGGCCGTTGCTCGCTGTTCGTTATCGGCGACGAGAGCGGAACTCTGGAGTTTTGGGACCTGCTGATGAGCCATCGCACACCCATTGTGACGGTTAAGTTTAAGCAGAGCATTACACACGTGTCGTTCCACCCACATGGACACCTGCTTACCGTAAGCCTGGCTGGCGGGGACGTAGTGATTCTCCTAATCGAGGATGACATGAGGACAGCCACCGCAAAGGAAAAGGCTCTCATGGCGGCGGTTAATTATGCTACAATTATCATATACACAAACGATTTTTATTTTCACTTTCTTTCCACAGCTTTTCGAGCGGGAGATCTCACGAGGCAAGCTTCTGGAACAGCGCGAGGAGGAAATAAAACTGAAGAAACGTAACTCCAAGCTGTCCGAGGTAGAAGAGCTTCGGTCTGGCGAGAAACCTCCCGAGCACGTTGTAAAATATGATCATAAAAGTCCCGAGAAATTCGTCAAATACATCGAAGAGGATGGAGAGCTTCGGAAAGCCATAATAGAATTTAACGAATCAATAGACTACGTCGCTTATAAGCGCTCCAAAAGAGTTTCCCACATTGAACGCACTATCTTTGAGCTAGAACCGGAGTCGGAGGACCCCGTCCCAAAATCTGAATAACTTTTTTTTTTATCTTGTTGCATCTTTTTGTTGTATACTAGGGCATAAACTCAGTATACTTTTTCATCTTTATACCTTCCTAATTAAATAATTCAAGAGTTACCAGAAACTTTTTCTAGGATTGCGAAATGATAATGGATTACAAGTGATAATGATAACTTTAGTCACAATTGGAACGCACAAAATGGAAGTCTATGGAAGAACCTGCCAGGAAACTTTTTCCTCGATCTGGAGTAAATCCATGATCCTGGGCCAGCCTCAAGACTTTATGGCTCCAAACACGAGTAAGCAGGGAAAAGAATGACCAGTTAGCTTAAAACTCAAGTCGACTATTCTATTTACTGGTGCTTGATTATCACCACGCTTTTCTTCAAGACTTCTCTGATCTTTTGGCACAATAGTACTCGTATATATGATCAGCCTGAAGGCCTTGTTGCGCTGCCTATAACCATTAATATAAGCATTTAAATTAAATTAAATTACGTTAAACATAGCTTTCATTGGTAAACCAGGTGCTACGCTACGCTCATTTTGACAAATTCAAAATAGGGACCGAGATGTTAGACTATGACTAATAAAACAAACAAAATAATATTTAAATAATATAATGATTCAAGATGTCGCTGATACGAGCATGCGTTTGCAATTGCATGTATTTACTTTATGTACGGAGGGTCAAGGGTCAACTTATTATAAGTGTATAAATATTAAGCTTAAGCACAATCTGGACATACATACATAGTCCATACATATATATGCATATAAGATCATAAGTATACGAGTACACACATATCATAAGTATTTATATGATTTGCTATACTTGTTATCTCGAAAACATGCCAGAGGGATATATATGCATATTATATACTATATACATATGTACACCTACTTATTTCACAACTTAATTGATATGACAGTCAAATGTTTCATTTTGCATTTAGTCTGATTTAAGTCTTTCAACGGAAAAGTCATTGAATTAATGGTGATCGGAATTGTGGTTTGGCTCTCTTCTTCCTCCAGGATGAAGGAGACATCATTTTTTCTACTGAAAATAGTTACTACCATGCCGTAAGACTTCAGTGCATTGAGAAATTAGAATTAAAACAAACTAATTAGTTGTTCTAATTGTTCTGTTTCTAGTACTTAATGTGAGCTGACCACGGAAGAGGAGGAAGAGCGTTGTGGCGCCATTTGCTGTCCGATGGTTAAGCCATTACGCCGGTACGATGCCATATGCAAGGGGAAGGATTCAACGATCACCGAACTCAAGGACCAAGTCCGAGAGAAAGATGTTTACATCGAAGCTCGGAGGCAATGGAAATACAGACCATAGATGATAATCTAGTGTCTACTATGAAGAAAAGCAAGCAACTTCTGGCTTCATCGATCCTAAATAAGGATAAGAAAATGAATTATGTACTTGGGAAGAGTCTAAGCCCAATGACACAAAAGTTCCAATCGATGGGTAGACACAATTCTATAACCCAGCTAATGGAAGATCAAATTACAGATCTTGAGTAAAATAAAAAAAGGGTAAAAGTGTGAAAAGTCCATTCGCGAACTGGAAATGGAAATCAAAGAAAAATCTTATCAGTTATAAAGAAGTGCTCTATAAACGGTAAATCAGACGTTAGCAATCATATGGATGATCAATTTGCAAACTTCACAATATAAGGTTGCACGAAATAAACCCACTCTGGATCTGGATGGACTGTAATCCTGAAACGAGTCAACGGCAATGAGAGCCGACTACAAATTAAGTTTTGGAAACCTAATCCTACGGGAGACTTATTCATTGGATAATCGTATATTTGTATATAGACCCCATAATGTATATATATATATATATTCTTGATCAGCAATTTTAATGGATCATCATCATATGGTAAACAAACAACATTATTGAGGCATATATAATTCATTAACTCATTTTTTCTTCAAATCTCCCTCCTATAAAATGTAACCTCTTCAATAAGGATGATCATATAATTGAAGCCTTCTGACCTCCCATTTATTGTGCGCACCTTCGCTTCTAATTTATCAGCTTTTTTCTTTAATTTCCATTCCAAGCTCGCGAATAAACTTTGACAGTTTTATTTTGTGATTTAAGATTGGAAATCCGATATTCAATCAGCTGTGTTGTCAATTGAATTTTAATTGTTATTAGGCTTAGTCCCTTTCCAACTAGATCATCAATTTTCTTATCCTTCTTTACGATCGATGAAGACAGAAGTTGGTCGCTTTTCTTTATAGTAGACACTAGATTATCATCTGTTGTCTGTATTTCCATTGACCTGTCGAGTTCAAGCTTGCTTTGCAATTGGGCGATGCAAACATCTTTCTCTCTGATTTGGTCATTGAGTTCGTTGATCGTTGAATCCTTCTCCTGGCATAGGGCAGCGTACCGGAGTAACGGCTTCACAATCGGATAGCAAATGGCACCACACCGCTCATCGTCCTCCTCCCGGGTCATCTCACATTACTAGAGACGGAATGAAATATTACAGCATGCTCGTAACTATTTTCCGTAGACAGAGTGATGTCTCTTTCCCCTTGGGGGAAGAAATGGGCCAGAGTCCAAAATATTGGCATAACTTTTCGTACAATGAATTTTCACGTTGTAAGACTTAAATCACACTAAACGCAAAATGGCAGACTCTAAAATCTTCTTATTAAATAAAATGTAAAATATAAGCGACTTGGATGTTTTATATCGCAATAATCGTAATTCCTGTATATTCTATTCTACTAATATCTATATATAATCTGGCAATTAAATGCTGTCTTTTTGATACGAACTTTCTGAATAATAAAAATGAATTGTAATATAAAAGTAAAAAGAGTTTTTCATAATCACTTTGTTTCATTTATGTTGCCAAGAAGTGGCCAAAACGCCACAAAGGCAGCACAGGATAGGTCCTTCACTTTCTCGAATGATCAAAATTGGTGGAACTGTTCCGAAGAAGAGGTAGGACTGCCATGAAGGACTTAGGCAGGCAGAAAATGGCTTTAAATTTTTTGTAATTTAATTTCACTTGTCTATTGCTCGCTTACTAATGCCCATATAATTTGTAGTTTTTACTAGTTTTTGCATCGCTATTATTATTAACGTGATTATTTGGCAAAGCTCCTTTCGATTTAAATGTCTAAGATCATTATTTGTTATTTATTTCATCGTTTTTTCCGTGCTTGAATTAAATATGTATATTCAGTTGCTTAAATATCAAGCTCGCAACAGTGGAAGCGTTTTTGTTCATATCAACCAAAATATTAAGCAGCGTTTTAAAGAGACAAAAAATTAACCTCACCTACAAAATCGCAATTAATGAAATATATGTACATAGTTAATACACTTACATATGAATGCATTATTCCCAGCCCGGGTATGCGCTATAATAATGTATCACCAACGTCTCAGCCATCGCTAACGTCACAGTCCAAAAAACCATGTGAAGATTTTAGATTTAGGCTGTTTACATCATCCCATCCCACTGTCGGATCTAATTTTCAAATATTGGAGATTCGTGCAGCGATCGAAACACAACTGTGATACGAGTTCTCAACAGTTCTCTTGTTGTCGCCTCTATTACGTTCGCGAGCGATTCTAAACATACAGCGTCTTTTTGCGTTATGTTATATTATCAACCATTAAGTATGTACGTTTGTATATATGGATTGGTAATTTATATGTACACAGAAATGCTCTGGTTTCCACACTCAATTTACTCTGGACTAGCCAACAAGTGCGTTCTTGATCTATTGATCTCGCTGAAAAGGGAGCAACTCCAGCCACAGGTCGACAAGTAGATACGCGGTAACACTGATTTTAGACACCTTGTCTAGCTAAAACACCCTGCATGTTCTTTTTCTATTATGTGTATAGTATTTTCCAGTAATCCAATGCAGAAGATAGCTCAAAATGAGCGAATCTTGCTGGAAATTGATTTATCAATCGGATAAAACTAAGAGTTCGGAGATGAAGGTCATAGCTCGCGAGTAATATTCAACCGAATATTAAAAACTAGGAATATGATTGAATTTGTATACAAATAATTCGTCAGTATATTTTGAAATATATGACGTATCGGTATATTTCTGAGGTATATTTTATCGATAACTCCGGTCCACTTCCGTTTTCTTTTCTTTTCGTGTATTCGCCCAGCAAGATGAAGTAAGTGGCAAAAATAATTTTGGAAAATCATGGGCATCCAGGAACCGAAGCCGACAATAAATACACTATCAGAAAGTAAACAGAGCAAACTTATGTTTACTGATGAGATTTTTCAAGTAGTATTCCCAGCTAATAATGAATAATGTAATCTCCTTACAGAATTGGCTTGTGTGCATTCAGCGGGTACAAAATCTACCCCGGCCATGGCAAGACCATGGTCAAGATTGATGGCAAGGTAAGTAAACAAATCAGATGCCACCCAAGAATGAGGGTATTAACAACCGATTGGCTTCTTTTAGAGCTTCACCTTCCTGGACAAGAAGTGCGAGCGCTCTTACCTGATGAAGCGCAACCCTCGTAAGGTTACCTGGACTGTGCTCTACCGCCGCAAGCACCGCAAGGGCATTGAGGAGGAGGCCTCCAAGAAGCGCACCCGTCGCACACAGAAATTCCAGCGCGCTATTGTCGGCGCTTCCCTGGCCGAGATCATGGCCAAGCGCAACATGAAGCCGGAGGTTCGCAAGGCCCAGCGCGATCAGGCCATCAAGGTCGCCAAGGAACAGAAGCGCGCCGTCAAGGCAGCAAAGAAGGCGTCAGCCCCAGCTCCCGCCAAGAAGTCTGCTCCCAAGACGAAGGCCGCCAAGGTCACGCAGAAGTCTGCTCCCCGCGTCGGTGGCAAGCGGTAAACAAGCCCAAGCAGAGACGGTAGTGAAGTGCTAATTTTCTAACAAGATTTAAGGAAACGAAGAAGTGAAAACCAATTAAACGCTGCAAATGCAAATTTGCAGTTAACAAAAAAAAAATACCAACGCGTTTTTTGTTTGAAACAAATGCATTTACCTGCAGCCACAACGATTTTTCCACAGCAGAGTTATTTGAAAACGATTCCCAATATTGTGCAACGCGTAAACTAAACAATTGTGTGGCATCCACTTTATTATGTGACCAAAACGAAGAAGACAAAGTGGTCCCGATATTCCCGATCACCTTAAATGAACTCGGTGCTATACTTTTTGCGGCCAATGAAGCTGGTCAGGCGTCCGATAGCATCGCCGTGGGCAATGATATAGGTGAGGGTTGGCTCATACAGCTCGGTCACTATCTGCTCCCCGCACTGCTCGTCTTGCGTGGTCTCCACGTGGACTTTGTGCGTCTGGAGCTCCATCAAGTGAAGGCACCCCAAATCGGTGAGCAGCTCGAGCAGGAACATGACATCCACTGGCACGAGGTACGGAAAGCGCAGAAACAAACTGTGGACTGTGCATCCAATGCGGGAAATGCACTCGCTGAGGACGGCGCCCAGCCAGCGGTCCAGGACACGACGGTTGAGCGATGCATTCAGTCGAATCCACGGCTGCGGTCGCATCACAATTGCATCGTGAGAGGCTTCATTTCGCACAGCGTTCACAAATGGTTCTTTTTTAATGGATCTCTTGGGTCGCTTTGCCACAGATTCCGCGCCAGCTTCGTCGCTTTCCGAGTCACTGCTATTCTGCTCTGCCAGCTTAATCTTTTTGGATGGATGTGCTTGCTCTGTCTCCGGCTCCTGCAGCGCCTCCTCCTTGCGCTTCTGGCCAATGACAGCCTGCAGAGTCGCGGGTGCAGCCGACACCTGAGTCTGCACCCTTTCCCGCTCCAGCCGCTTGATGTGGAACGTGTGCACCACCCAGTTCCGTATGTGCCGCTTGTGCACGTACATATAACTGGCCACGCCCACGCGCTTGATCAGATCGTGGTCGGCGAGGGCATGCAGGGCCTCTAGTAGGAAATCGCCCAAGGGGAAACTCGTTCGCAGCTCCATCGCAGGCACCCCTAGTGGCAGTCGCTCAATGTAGTTGAGTATGTCTTCCATGTGTCGGATGGCATTGGCATCGTAGCGTCTTTTCTTTAATGTTGGTAGAAGCGTCGCAAACGTGTTCTCGGTGTACCGCCAATATGTGGCCCTGAAAGGTAGGGAAACAATCGGTTAGAAAGCGGCTTCATGGCCAGACTTGGCCCTACTTACTTGAGCACCTTTGCCAGCACAGCGGTGCGCATGTCATCCGCATCCTGTTTGGCCTGCTGATGATCCTCTTGCTGAACAGCATGCATGCCAATGGCCGGCAGATGGACCACAAATACGTCTTGTACCCTGGCCCGTTCTTCCTTGTTCATGGCCGGTTCGAACTCTTGCGAGCGTTCTGCCTCCCATATGTGCGCCTCGTAGTCGATCAGTTCCGAGCAAAGGGCCCGCCAATCGGTGAGCTTGTGGAGGGTTTTCTCCGCCAGCAGTTTGCCCAGATCCTTGCACTCCAGCGGCTGCTGGATCTGCCGCCAATAGGCCTCCAGCTGCTGGGTCAGTGCCAGAATGTTCGACACGCTCACTGTGAGGGTTGTGTCGGCCGAATTGACTTCCAGCTGGAACTGGGACTGGGGCAGGGCATCGGCTACCAACTGCTTCAGCAGGGGACGCTGTTCATGGACAATCCGCTCCACAGCATTGAGATAGTTCCCACTACGCATGATGCAATTGGGAAAGGGACAGTCAAGCTGTTCCAGGCGCGCGCTGACGAGGGTTATCGAATCGCCCAATGCGTCCAGGCCACAAAAGAAGTGCATTACTCGCAGGGGCAACTTCGAGAGCTGAATATATGCACACGCCTGGATGCGATAGCTCAGATTGGCGGGGTGGAAGCGAACCCGCGAGGCCTGACGACTACTGCACTCGCTCTCCAACCGCTTTGAGTACTCCGTCTGCGGGGCGTTGTCCAAAATGCAGCTATAGTGATCCAGAATGCGATCGGTCGAAGAACCGTTCGGTCTGGACATGCTTGTGGTGTCGACGGTCAGAATGTTGGCGGGCAAGTGCAGCGACAGCCTCAACTTTCCCTTGGCCAGCCATTCGCCCAAGAGCAGCAGCTGCGCGAAATGGGGCGACGGCAGGTGTTGCTCCTTGTCCAAGTTAAGCTTCTGCTCAAACAAGAAGTAGCTGTCGAAGACGGTGTGGGCCAGCTTCACATAGGTCAACCGGTACTTGTACTTGGAGCTCAGCACATGGGCTGGGCCAGATATCTGGCGATTGGAGACGGCCTGAATGTTGCGTCGCTTGACTGCCACCAACAGGGAGTCCGCGCGGGCCTTGCTGAAGGCGGCATTCAGCACTTCCTCGGAGAAGTGCTTGTATATCTCGAAAGTCTGCAGATTGAACAGCGTCTTGTCCTTGGCACAGCAGACCTGGCTGTGCAACACACCATGCGCAATGGCCGCCTGCAGCTCCGTTTCCGTACTGGGATTGGAGTACAGCACCTGCTGATCGTCATTCAGGCGGGTGGACTCCCTCAGCTGGCTCCGATATTCGTCGACAGTGTCGGGCAGAATAAACTGGTTCCGGACAGTGCCATGCTACAAAAAAAAAGAGATACCATTCAGGATAAAGGCTATGAGATGTTGTGATTTGCCAATCGGAATGGCACTCACCGAGTTCGAGATCATCTGATGTAGCTTGCTTAGGACGAGCACAAAGTGGACCAACAGGGCCTCATTTTGTTCCGTTTTGGTGGGATACTCGCGCTTCAGGCTGCTCATGAACCGATCGTTGTAGATCGAATTGAATTGCGGCTGCGTTTGCATCAAGTATATCCAGCTCGGCACATCAGGGGCATCGCGCTTCATGCGCATCAGGAACTGCAATCTGCGCACACAGGCCTGCGTGGTCTTGTTGCAGATACCAAGGTAGCGACGGATGACGTCGCGGCAAACGAGGCCCACATTGTTGAGGGCAAACGATAGCACCGGAGCGTCAAAGAACAGATACACAGCCCGTCCCATCTTGAGCACGCGATCCTCCTCGGGCAGCCAGTGGACGCGCAGTGTGCGCATATTCCTCATGGCATCCCGATCAATATCATCCCGTGGACCACATTTCCTTCGCGGAATCTTGACGCTACTGGCCGTTCCACCCGCAGTTCTGCGAATCGGCATCTTGGGCGTCACCTTTATGCGGGTCAACGCTCCCAGCTTCCGCGTGTTGCCGGAATAGGTTTTCAGAGCCCCAGCGCCCGCACCCTTGCCCTGCTTCGTCTGCACCCACGACCAGTTACGGAACTGATGGGCAAAGAGGAGCGAGCTCAGACCAGCGGCGCCCAGCTGGTCTCCGGGCACTGTGCCGTTGTCCAGCTCCAGGGCCTGGTCAAAGTGCTCAGGCCCAAAAAAGGACAACGGCTTGAGGCGGGCCGCCGTTTTCTTGCTGTCGGCCAACTCCTTGCGGAATCCCAGCTTTGTGTAGACGCAGATGTGCTGGAGTTTGGCCCAGTACTGGGCTATTTGGTCGCGATTCTGGAACTCAAATCTCAGCTCCATGTAAGTGCGGTCAGCGCTGACCTTCTTGTAGTTGTGCTCGCTACTGGCGGTCGTGTCGAGGAGGCGAGCACGCTTGTTCAGATACACCCAGCGCTGGACGGACTCGCGGCCCAACTGCAGGTCACTGACCTGAATCAGTCCCATGTGGTTGAGGAGGCAGAGGGTGCGGGCATATAGCTTCTGCAGACGCGATCGGGATACTATGTTCTCCAGATTGAGTTGGGAAAGCAGGTAGTGCTGGCGTATGGGATGCTTCAGCTGCAGCCTCAGTCTTTCCGCGCTGTCCTCGCGCTCAATGCGACAGATGCGGAGTAGCAGCGAGAGGGGCATACGGTCCATCGCATCCATAAAGTACACCCACCCCGAGGGTTTGTCCACATAGCACGGAAGCGGGGGTATAAAGGTGCGCCAGCTTATCTCCGTGTTGTAGGGCAGTACGACCGTCTGGTCAGCGTGCCACTCTTCCAAAAACTGACGCGTCTCGAGAGCGGGCTCCACCTTCTGCCACTGCTCGACTAGATCCGCCGTCATGGGCAATGGTTTCTGCTCTCTGGGCATCTCGTAGATCACGTAGTATAGAAACTCGTGCAGCGTTCTGGCCAACAGCAGCTTCGGAGCCGGCGTTTTGGCTGCCTGTGCTTTGTGCCGGTCAGCGCTAAGCTTCTTGCTGGGAATCAACTGTTTACGCTCCTTGGCCGGCAGCTGCGAGGGTCGTTGCAGGCGCTCTTCGGTCATTAGGTGGAAATTACTCTTGAGTCGTAGGATCTCCCTCTTCAGCAGCTCATGATCCGAGTCGATTTTGGGATGTGTCACCAAGCGGTAGAAACGTATCCGCTGCTCGTACTGCAGCGTCAGCTCGTACACATTCACAATCTCAGCATCGATCATGGACCTCAAGAGACGAAAGAGTGATCGTCGGCACAGTGTGTCCTCGTATCCGGCTTTGCGCTCTTCCCTCTTGATGCTGCTCGATACATTCATCAGCTGCACGATGCAGTTCTCATCAATCATTTTCACGATCTGCTCCTTGCGGCGCAAGTGACGCTGCGTTTGCCTGTCCAGTTTGACGTCCTTCAGGTTGAAGCTAAATGGATTAATATTGGCCACAATCTCGGTCATATCTCGAATCGCCACGTCCGAGCTTGCAGGAATATTCTGCACAGAATAATGTTGAAAATATAATTATTTGAATTGGATATCTAAATCGATAATATTTTTTAAATGCACAACTAATCATAGTTTTCATTGATGGTTGAGTTGCGGGTGTCCGATGCACTATTCGCAACGGAACACGCGGATTCCAGGCAGGAACGAAGCCCTCCTCCCGCCCAACCGACCGGGGGGCGCTGCCGCATGACGCGCGACGTGTTAGCCGAACCGATCTCGAACATGCAGGAAAGATGAATAATATTCTGATTATAGACCAATATTCGAGGAAAATTTTGTGCACCAAAATCCCAACAAGATTTTTTTCTTCGATTAACTAAGGTTGGAAGGTTTATTAAAAGCATTCGATTAGGGTAGGATGGCAATTTCTAACTGGCATCCTAATTATATATGTACGGCCCTGGTGTACTTTGTACTGAAGACCATATGTACAAAACACTAGCCGTATTCTAAAATCGAACGTCTGTGTTATATAGGGGTCATCTAATTCCTTGACCACCTCTTTCAAAACCCATTGATTACCATAATAAAAATGTGTGCAGAAAACTAACAGTCTAACAGAACACCAAGATCATCAACCAGGGAAATTCTCTCAAGAGAACCTCCGTTTTGAGTGTAAAGCGCCGACAAGGGGCTGGAACGATGAAATTTCATTACTTTACATTTCAAGGCTGAAAGTAATTGAGATCGGATTGCAGGCGAGATCAAAGTGAAATGTCCTTATACTGGACACAGAGCTTAACATCATCCGCATACATGAGTACTCGAGAGTAGGTTATTACCGAAGGAAGGTCATTAATGAAGATTACAAAGTAAGGTGCTCCAGAATTAACCTTGACTGGTGAAGGAGTTTTTGAAGAGGACTAATTGAGAATGGGAACAAAGGTAGCTAAAAATTCATCTCAGGAGGATACACCTCTAAGCCCTAAAAGGGTCATGAGTATCTCCTCAACGAAATGCACAACGGACTTACCGGCTCATCCTTGCACTGAAGCTGGAGTAAAGTCTGCTTCAGTTCGATCTTTTTCATTTCGACATCAGGGGCTTGTGCGCTGGCCACATACCGTATGATGCGCATTCTCCCCAGCTGCTCGGAGTAGTCCTTGATCTGGCCGAGCTTCATCAGGTGCTTGAGGAAGCCGCGTACCGCCACCATACTGATTCCCGCATATAGGCACAGCTCATTGGCGGTGAGTCCGCGCTTTCCGAATCGTGCAATGGCCCGATGGCATTCGCGTTCGGGCGGCATGTCCACAAAGCTGTGGCGATGATCGAGGAACTCGAGCTCCAGCTTGTCCTCCCAGGCTTCTTGATCATTTTCGTAGAGCTCCTCATACGCCAGGTCGGGGTTCCTAAGCTGCAGCACAACCTGTTTGCGCTTCGATGGCTTTGGCTCCTTGGGCGATTTTGAACTGGAGCTGGAGATTGGAGATTCTGGGGCGACGCGCGTCACATGATTTGTCTCGAAGAACTTTCGAATGCTGTGGGTCAAGAGGAGCTTCTTCACCTGCTTCCGACTGAGGTGTCCCAGTCGATCGGGTATCTCGGACAGCGGTATATAATGACTGCTGCTCTGTGTAATATCCAGATATAGCTTGTCAATGCTCTTTTGTGTGTGGCTCTTGAAAATGCGGAAGAATCGGGGCAGCATCAGCACCGACGAGTTGGTAAAGCGACCATTGTGACGCTCATTGTAGGATTGGCCGGCAATCAGCTGGAGGGCCAGCAGCTTGTTCCTAAAAAAGGAGATGCTCCGGTCAATTATGGAATGAAATTTTGTATTGCTTATTGTTATTTAAAGTCTAACAATGTTCAGCTAAACTGTAAGGGGAAAATGTATTCTAGTTACGGCAGAGGCTACGGAAAGATTCATGGACAGTAGTTCTAAAGACAGGGTTGAAGATTAAAAGGAAGTAATGCCTAGACGGGACAGCAATACTAATTAGACTAATTAGGGCAGTGGATACAAGCTCACCAGAGTGAATTTTGTGGATCCATTGCAGATCCTACGGTCTTTACGAGAATTTTGGAAGATAAGGGAATAGGATTTGATATACACGGAAGTAGGCAGAAGATTATTGAAAGGAAAGTAGCAAAGTTGCAAAAAATTATGCGAAAGGATCAGCTATGTTACAATCTTTATCAGCATGAATGTCGTTTAGGAATCAAGAAGAAGGAAATCGAGACGAATTACTTTTGAAGTTAACAAACCTAAAGGGGAGATCCTCTACTAACCAGTTTGCTCAATGCAAGAGTAGAAAAAACTAGATATAGAAGCTGGAAATGGATAGAATGTTTTCCTCACTTGATGTAGAACACGACGCTAGCGTCCTTGCAGTAGTTAATCAGCCCCCAGGGACCCACTGTCGTTAGTCCATTATAGCGAGAGCGTCCTATTGCCTCCCAGCACACGTATTGCTGCACGGGCATTTCCTTTGGCGTCAACAAATTGATCGGTGTTAGGGCCATGTTCCGCTGCTCTTGTGAGGCTACAGCCACGAGTCTCTGGTCCCAGTGCTCCGTCGCCTGGGCGGCTGTCAATGAGCGGAGCTGGGCCGCCTCGACAGGCTTGCGGGTCTTGTAGTCTTCACAATTGCCCATTACGTTGTCCTCTTCCACGGGGGCATAGCGGTATAACATGTAAGGACACTGCTCTGCCACCATGGCTACGCCGATCTCTGGATCCTGATCGTTGGATCGATCGTAGGGGGGCATAAACGGTCGCGGCGAGGGCAGTTCATAGAATTCCAATTTTTCGGGGCAAGAGCGCAACAGCAGGGCCCACACCTGATCTCGCAAATTGTCGGGCAGCGGGGAGGGGGCAAACTCCAGTCGCACCGCCAGTAAGCGCCACAGGTCTATGGATTGTACGTAAATTGCAGACCAAACCAAAGAAAGTTTAAATAAGAGTGTCTTACCTGGCAATGTGACGCCCTCGAGGCCTTCGAGAGCAACTTCATCGAAGATCGCATTGATCCAAGATCCCCCCGATGTGGCGTACATACTAGACGCTAGTTAGTTCAGGTACCGTAGAGCAGTATAGTATAGAACCCTCAGTCCTGCCCACATAATTCTATCCAATTAATGAATCAATTTTCTACTTGACTGGCTTGTTTTAAATACTTGACTTTGATTGTTTTTGGCTCCTCAACAACAATATAGCGTCTCATATGATGAAGAACCGAACTTAGCCCACTTAAGCCCCCTCGATTTAAATAGTGCAACTACTTGAGGTAAATGGCAAAAAATATTAACGATTGTAAGTTCTTCTTGTAGATCCATCCCTCTTTCCTCTGAACTTAAAAGAAACCACCATTTCTTTCAAATGAACTGCGCTAAAATTATGAAATTTTCATTATTTTCGGTTTAATATTAAAATACCCCCTTGGCTTATAATAGGTTAATCGTTCTCCGCCAAGGATTTTGATATTCCGTGGAATATTACTAGCTATCTAGATCTCTCAGCCCTGCCCACAAAATTGTATCCAATTAATGAATCTATTTTCTACTTAACTGGCTTATTATAAATACTTGCTTTTATTGGATTTCTATATACCTTTTAAAATAAAATTTAATAGATTGATGAAATTGACAAAATATACCATTATATACCGATATACCGTAAATATACCATCGTTTCAAGTTTGACCCCTGACCTCGCGTTGCCAGTCACATGAAAAATTGTTATTAAATACTTTCGCCACGCTGGCAACTCTGGCATAAAGTAAACAGCTGGTTCCTGCATCGTAAATAGACGCTTGTTTCATTTATTTTTTTGTAAATTGATATATATTCCACAAAGCTCGGCAAGAAAATGTCTTCCGCCGTGTACCTAGAGAACTATCTCGATGGTAAGGGCTTTATTTTCAGAATGGTGCTTGTGTGTAACTTCCTTTATTCCCCTTCCAACATCTAGGATTGGAGAGTCTGCCGACAGAATTGGAGCGAAACTTTAAGCTGATGCGCAAACTGGACGATCGCGCCCAAACGGCTATGAAAAGCATTGACAGCCATGCCAAGGACTTTATGCGCAAGCTAGCCGAGAGCGGGGCCCTGAGCGAGGAGGAGCGGAAAGAGCGGTTGGAGGATATCAAGGCGCTTTTTGGCAAGGCCAAGGAATACAGCGACGACAAGGTGCAGCTGGCCATACAGACTTACGAACTGGTGGACAAACAGATCCGTCGTCTGGACAATGATTTGGCACGATTCGAGGGGGAGATCCAAGAGAAGGCCTCGTCCACGCGCGCTAAATCCGAGGAAGCGGTGGCCAAAAGTGAGTGTAGCCCCTTGGTTTGCACATATGGCTTAACCATCCGTTCTTTTCATTGCAGAGGGTCGAAAGAAAGCAAAGGACAGCAAGGTGACTGGGAAAAAGAAAAAGTCCGCCTCCTCGGATGAGGAAACTGGGCGTGGCGGCAGCACCCAAATCAATGCCAATGTCAGCCTCAACTCCAGCAGCAATGCTGGAGGCCAAGGTACCAAAAAGAAAAAGTCAAAGGTAAATCAAGAAAAAGAAACACGCAAGGGGGGCGCACAAAAGGTAAATCATCATCATCAACATTTCGTCTATGAATCTTTTAGAATTATAGTTTGATTACCCCTCCGTTTAGTTCAGTTTCGGTTACACGTAGTTTCGTTGTCCTGTAATCTCAAAGATTCCACGTATTCATTTCCATTAGCATAGCTATCCTCCTAACTCATAATTTCTATCAGTTGCATTACTCATTTTTCCCCTCTCTGCACGTGTCGACCATTTAAAATCGCCTTCTCACTGCCGCACTCTTCGATTCTCTTCAATCCCACAGAAAGTCGTCGAAGCGGATGACTCGGAGAAGGACTCCTGCCATACGGCCGCCACGCATCCCAGCGATGTCATGGACATGCCGGTGGACCCCAATGAACCAACGTACTGCCTTTGCCATCAGGTCTCCTATGGCGAGATGATTGGCTGCGATAACCCCGATGTGAGTATAACCCCCACATCCATCCATTTGGAAGCTTTAATTTCATTCCACTCTTTGCAGTGTCCCATCGAATGGTTCCACTTTGCCTGCGTCGGTCTCACCACGAAGCCAAAGGGCAAGTGGTTCTGCCCCAAGTGTACGCAGGACCGGAAAAAGAAATAGATCAATTCGCTTTTAGGATCATACTTAGTCGCTAGCTACTTTAAGTACACGTACAATTTTAAATAAAGTTCTACCTGCCTATGTCGAACATCAAACTGAGATTACTCGAATACATTCTGATGGTGTACTTGGAATTACCTCTGGATCTCGCTTGCATTTCATCCAAAGAACGTCAACATCCAGCTTATTTGTCCCATTTCAACTGAGCTTTGATGGTAAGTTATCTAGCAGAATCCTTATCCTCAGACTGCCAAGTTAATCACACATTAGTTTAAAACGAAAGAAGCAGTTCCATTATCTGCATTACTATACTTGAGGCTCAGTAATATAATGAAGTCTTTAACTGCTGCAGATCCATAAGGATAAGGGGCTAAAAGGATTCAAATAGACTTCTTCTTCTTTGGAAACAAGTAACATAGATAATTTAAGACATTCTAGGAAGTATTGCATCAAACTAAATAACAAAATTGAAACTCATTAGGAAAGGGCTAGCTCTGAAGAAAGTTAATGGCTGGTGATAGCTAGTGCGCTCCTTTTAAGGACATGAACACTCAACGTTTACTGCTATGCTAGTAAGCTAATTTGAAATACACTTTATACAGTGTGAAATAACAGGAGTCTGCACTCAGAATCCAGTTACTGTAGCTCTTATAGTATCTGATATTTAGGTTATATCAAAGACTATACAATATTTTTATAGTCTTTGGTTATATTGACTCTGTGATTGATGATTTAAAATCTTGAAATACTTTATGGCAGCTGTGGGCACAATTTTATCGAGTCTAGTCAATGTCATTGTGCACGCAAAGTAAGTTTTTCTTGTACTATTCTCTTGAACTCTCCTTTGGAGCATTCGCTTGAGCGTCTCGAGTCTAGCCTCAATGGGTATTTCTTTTGTTTGTGCATTCGCGGGTGTGGTTGGATACACTTTCTTCTGGCTATACAATTTATATGCTGCTCTTGAATTGACTCGAATCAGGGTTCAGCTAATAGACTAATACTTTCTGTATTTTTGTTACATTTTTTTATTTTTAATTTTAATTTAATTTTTCAAAACGGTTCAAGGATTTAAACTTAGAGCAAACACTGTTCAGCATATGCACACGTATATGAACGTGTTTCATGATATAGAAGGTAATTTAACTGCCGAAAAAAGAAAAAAAACAAGGAACAAACAACGCATAACAACGTCTGATTACTGGGATTAAACGTGCCGTGCGTCTGGTGTTTACTTTTTGGTCATTATTTTCAGATACTCGAGCGCATTTTGGGCGGCATGCCGTTGTGCCTCCCTAGCCGTGGGCCCAGTGCCATGGCAGACGCCAACCGGCAGCGTGGACAGCTGCACCAAGCACTGAAATTGGCCGGTGAAGGTCTTTTCCTCGATGTCCACGTAGGTGACCTCGAACTGGTTCTCGGCTGCAATGTCGGTCAGAAGCTTGGGATGGTCGACCGTGGTGTTCTTCAGACAAGTCTTCTGAAATAAAATACATTAACAGATTATAGAATATACATATATGTATAGGCATTCAAGAATCGAGGAGTGGGCAAAGCGGTGCTGCTGGCCATCGATTCGCGATTGAAATTACCTGTAGTTTAAGCAGTTTTTTGCCCGTCGCATTTTTCAGGGTCTTGTGGAACTGTGACACTTTGTTACTGTGCTGCGTGGTCAGCGTCGGCACAGTGATATCTTTCAAATCACCATAATAATTATCATTAATGCGAGACTGTAAATAAGAGCGCAGCGTTTTCTGTTTACATTTTGAACTCTTTACATTTGCATACACGAACAAAACACACACCCAGAGCTAAATGGTGAGTTGAAATATATCACTTGGGAGTGAGCATGGACTGGATTGTGCAGAGTTATTGTTAAATAATTAACTAATAAATTCATATGACAACAAATCATTACATCCGCCCACTAAGGCACTTGGTAACGATAGTAAGCAATGGTAAATGTTAGACCAATTAAATGATTGCTGTTATTTGGAGGTTCAAAACGAAAGAAAAGAAAATACAAAAAAAAAAACAACTAAGAAAAATTAGTATAAGTAAAAGAAAATGCAACTGATCTACATTCAATTTAATTGAAATTTTATAGGTAGATAGATGTATATATAAAATTCAACATAAGTTTCGTAACTCAGGAGTTGCACAAGTTTAAAATGGAAAATATATAAAGAAACTTCTAGATTTCCATCAATTGAAATTCGGGACTGACAGCAAGGTAAGCTAAGCTAGGTTTACTCACATCGCCCTCCAACTCGTTGCAGACGTCTAAAACCTTTGCTGCATCGATGGGCGTGTCCTGTAGACGACTCCACATTTTGTGGGCGGCCGAACGCTTGGCGATCTTCTTGCTCTTCCCCTTGCCAATCTCACGGTACTGCAGTATGGTACACGCTATGGTAAAGAGTCGCTCATGGGGCAGTCCCATTTCGGTTTCAGTCGCATACGTTGGCGGCGGCCACCGGCGCTGCATACACAACTCCTGCAGCAAGCCAATGGGATTGCCCACAATCTTGTCGTCAGGGCTGTAACAAAAACCAAATGTTTATTCTGCCGGCATCAGCGGTGTCGCGGAGACTGCACTTACTCGCCAACTGCTGTATTGCAATCCCCACCACTCCCAGCCGCCGTGGGGTCAGCCGCAGATGTGGCAGTGGCACTGCTAGCAGCCTCCGGTAGCTGGGCGCCCATCAGTTTGTCAATCAGAGCACGAGCCGCGGCATGCTTGGCCTCCTTTTTCGAGCGTCCAGCCCCCATGGCCGTGAAGGGTGTGTCCTTTTCCTTGAAAGAGACGCGAAAGCGAAACGTTGGCTCGTGGATGGCCCCCTCGATTTGGACCAGCTCGTAGCCGGGTGTGATGCCTCGGCGACTGAGGATCTCTTGGAGTATGCTAACGGGCGTCTTCATGGCCAGCCCATTGGCATCGGTTTCGCTGACAAAGGCGATTGCCTCGTCGGTCGACGATGCCGCATCTACTTCGCTCAACTGCAGCTGGATCTGCTGCTGTGGCTGTTGCGGCTTCTCCTTCTTGACTTTGCTCGGACGTTGTGTTCTGGTGGAGGTCCCGTCGACGTTGCCATTGGTCAAGCCCCCAGCTGCCATGGCTGCAGCTGAGCCACCCGAAGTATCATACTGACGCCGGGGAGCAAAGCCAGTCTGTGCTGGCTGCGCCGGTAGTGGCTGCTGCTGCTGCTGCTGTGGATGCTGTGGATGCTGCTCATGTGGCAGCTGCGGCGAATGCTGTTGCTGTGGCCGCTGCATCTGGTGCACCTGGTTCTGGTTCTGTTGGAAACTCAGGTTCTGCAGCTGTTGTACCAGACCGCGGCCATGGTAGTTTGACTGCTCCATATTTTCGAAAATAAATTCCAAACGTATATGACTGTGAAATATAGTATTGTTGAAAAATCAATATTTACGGGCGTGCTCGGGCGAGAATCGGAGCTGCCAAGCATCGTTTCGCTAGAGACTGCCCTCTGCGTGATTTCATTACTTACGGTTGATGACAGATTTTTGCTGCCTTTTATTTAAAAATAATTTATTAACGAAGTTAATAATTTATTCTTAAATAAAATACACCAAAATCAAGTCGCAACGCGAGTCGAGCTGTACGCTGTCGGTCAGTTGGGGTATTCCTGAAACGGCTTTTGTTTTGATGCAGTTGTTTCAATACGAAGAAAGTTCAGTCCATGATGGAATTACAATTGCATCATGGTTCAGTCCTTTGGGCAAATAACTGGCCACAAATAGTCAGGCAGCCAAAACGTTTCGTTTTAAGGTCCAGTTTTCACATATTTTTTCTATCGATATGTTTATCGTTTTTGGCAATTGACCTGGCTGTTTTTTAAATATACAGCGTGATTAAAATGCCTTTTATTTTTCCAATTGCTTGTTTTGAAGCAAAACGACGGCAGAAATTACATAATCTAAGAAGATCCAGACATCTTAGATGCAACACTTGTGTATTTAACATGTCTGACGAACTGTGAGTAACAGTATTCAAATTGAAAATTAAATTGCTAATGGTCAAGATTTTAGATTTGTGAAGTCTTTTCGGATCGACAAGTAAACTTTCAAAATGATTTTGGAGAAATATGATTTATACTTTCCTCTAGATATAAAAAATAACAAAGCGGTAATTTCCGATAACTAAATCGGACTGCGTCACCAAAACGAAAATTGTTATTGCCCTGGCCAATTTTAGCGAGCCAAATTTAAGGTTGGGTTAAAGTAAAACTATCCATGAAGAAAGCACAAGTTAAGCTACCCTGATATGGGTGTCAAGTTTATGTTAATGTGTCACCTGATCAATAAGTCATCTACTTTTTTCCTTTTGCAATTGAGGTTCGTTTTGCTGTATAAAAAGCCGTTTACTTTTCATTTTGTCAACGAAAATGTTTTCGTTTTGAAAACGAAGAAAGTGAAACGAAAGTGAAAAACGGAGCCTGGCCGAGTATAACTAAATATACCACAAGGCTTATTTTGTACAACGTTGGTTATATTTATTGCCTCTTATATATTTGTTGCAATATACACTCCCCGACACTTGAATACGACATACTAAAATGTACACTTTAGGCACCAATATTTCCGGCACAAGCCAAAGAAAACGGTGAATTTTAATTTTCCTCAAATCTCTATTCAATTTAGCATAAATTAAAAAAAAAATAATAGCAATATTCATCAAAGTAGATTGAGAAAAAAAATTTAATTGACATAACTCAAATTTCCGCTCCCAAAAAATGCGACACTTGAATACGACATTCGCATTGAAAAATTTTTTATTTTGGATGTGGTCGCGACCGGACATTGAATAAATTCTCAAAAATCAATTAGGGTGTCCTTATTACGAGAAAAAAATGTGGGTTATGGTAAGTCCTTTTCAAAGGACGAAAGCTCCACAATAAAAGCCTCGAAGGAAGTAGGTCCATCAATAATGAAAATAAGTGATGAAATTGGTAAAACTAGGTGTGTTCTGAGTGATTTCATAAAGAACGGGTCAAATTATGGCAAAACCATAATAACCCGAACAAAAATTGCTACTTCGGAGACCTCTATGAGATCTCATCTGCGAGCCGCATCTAAAAAACACGACTAAAACTCGATTTAAAAATCGAAAACTGTACTTTTAGCTAGTGCTAAAATAATAAAACATGTTTTTTCGAAGACTCCACACCATAAGGGACTGTAATTAATAAAAAACCTCAGCCAACGGACGAAAACTTAGAATACTCCCGTACTTTTGCATATTCATATGGCGTGGAGTAGAGACTGTCGCTATATAGCATTTTCAAAGGGACAAACATTTTAATTTGAAGGGTCATAAGGGTTTCTTTTTTATATTTATAAGGACTAAAGGAAGTGAGGAGTAAAGAAGAATTACAATTGGATAGTTTTCACAGCAGTGTGAGCGCTATTATTCTGTGGTGAGCAAGATCCTAAAACGGCGTGGACCAGTTGATTTTTCATTAAGTCGAGTTTATCAAATATGCAACAAAGTTGAGGGGTTTTTTATTAAATACAGTCCCTTATGGTCGTCGAAAAAACATGTTTTATTATTTTAGCACTAGCTAAAAGTACAGTTTTCGATTTTTAAATCGAGTTTTAGTCGTGTTTTTTAGATGCGGCTCGCAGATGAGATCTCATAGAGGTCTCCGAAGTAGCAATTTTTGTTCGGGTTTTTATGGTTTTGCCATAATTTGACCCGTTCTTTATGAAATCACTCAGAACACACCTAGTTTTACCAATTTCATCACTTATTTTCATTATTGATGGACCTACTTCCTTCGAGGCTTTTATTGTGGAGCTTTCGTCCTTTGAAAAGGACTTACCATAACCCACATTTTTTTCTCGTAATAAGGACACCCTAATTGATTTTTGAGAATTTATTCAATGTCCGGTCGCGACCACATCCAAAATAAAAAATTTTTCAATGCGAATGTCGTATTCAAGTGTCGCATTTTTTGGGAGCGGAAATTTGAGTTATGTCAATTAAATTTTTTTTCTCAATCTACTTTGATGAATATTGCTATTATTTTTTTTTTAATTTATGCTAAATTGAATAGAGATTTGAGGAAAATTAAAATTCACCGTTTTCTTTGGCTTGTGCCGGAAATATTGGTGCCTAAAGTGTACATTTTAGTATGTCGTATTCAAGTGTCGGGGAGTGTACCCTTAATGTTGACGGTTTTTGTTATCGGTATTTCACTTTCCATATCAATGTGGGTCGCAGGGTGACGGTTTACGATCAAAATTGAACCGACGGTATATTAACGGTATATCGGTATATATTTTGCCAATTTTATCAATCTATTAAATTTTATTTTCAAAGGTTTATAGAAATCCAATAAAAGCAAGTATTTAAAATAAGCCAGTCAAGTAGACAATTGATTCATTAATTGGATACAATTTTGTGGGCAGATCTGAGAGATCTAGGAATATAGAACTGGAATTCGCCAGTATATTTACGGTTCCTTTTTAAAATGACGACAAATCCGCGGTCACCCTGCTTGGTCGCCAACGTATTTGTATATAATATATTTATTGCTCCACTATTGTTGTACATACATATTATATATTTATTTTACTCTTGTATAGGTAGTGCACGGGAAACGGCATTCAATCAAATCAAATGCGATTGCATGTGCGGAATTGTGTGGCTTGAAATGCTCATGTGGGACTCCCCTAGCAATAAACGAAGAATTTTATAGTATTTCTAAATCTGGCGCTCCTCTCCTCCCCTCTTCTCTGCCCCACCTAATCGTCGCTTAAGAAATCATCATCGAGATTGACATCTGCCGTATCAATGTTATCATCCAGCGTTATGCCGTCAATTTCCAGATCCAGGTCGTCGTCGTCGTCGTCCACAACATTGGCGGAAGAGCTTGCTTCCTGGGCGCTGGTCACGGGAACCTGGGCAGATACAGGGCCGGCCTTTATTTTCTCCTCCGGCTGGCCTCCACTCTGCCGCTCGGCTAAGTTCAGTTCCTCGAGGGGATTGCGCTCGCTATTCAGGGGTAACTGTCCAGCCAAGCGGGCTGGCACCCTGCGTGTCCTTTCCTCCTGCAGATGCTGCTCCACGCGCAGGGCATCGGTTAGCCCAGGAAAGAGATTTGTATACTGAGCTGGATCGGCCAACGATTGACCAGCCTTTTCGTTGACCTTGCCCAGCTCCTCGCGCCACAGCCCGACCACACGCGACATTTGGCTAGGCAGATAGGTGCGGGCAAAGAACGCCGCCTCCGGCAAGCGGTTGTTTTCAATGAGAAGATCGAGGCAACGGTGCACATCCGAACGCAGGAATGCGGCCAGGAAGGAGGCATTGTGACGTGCCATTACAGAGGACACAGCCTCCACCTCCTCGAGCATCTGGGCATCGCCCGAGGCCGTTGAGAGCAGCAGTAATCCACTGAAGTCATTCGCCTTTCTCATGCACTCCTGGACCAAAGCCATGTTATTCTTGCGCGCAGCCACATCCGCCAGCTGTGACCATTTTTGCGAGTTCTCTGCCTCTCGGGCCAACTTCAGGGCTACGTCCAGCTCATCAATTTGCAAGGCCAGGTCGAACTTGTGGTCAGCGTCGGTGGAGACCTGCAGAGCCTGCGACTTGAAGCCTTGCTTCTCCAGGAAATGTGCCACTCGAGTGCGATGCTCTTTGGGTATGGTCGGCAGCACCTGATCGGCCCGCTCGAAATCCCGACGCATCACGGCCGTCTGGTATTCCAGCACTGACAACTGCAGGCAAAAGCTGATCACATTCAGCTCCTTGTCGCCCAAATACAAGCGATTATCCTTAGGCACGTAGCCCAGTAAGTACATGGTGCGATCCAAATGCGACACGGTCACAATTTCACCGCCCACATAATAGTTGATGCGATTCACAGAGTTCGTATAGATGAAGCAGTCGCCGACCCACAGTCCCGTCTTCACAGATTCAGAGACCTCGCCTGCGACGATAAAACAACATCAGATCCTGGTCCGCACAGATCAGATATGCCACTTTTGTTCTTACCTAATACATTGAAAGCACTCTCCACACCATCATCCTCCAGACCCTCCTTGGTTTCGACGGCGTTTGCCACTAAGGCTGTGTCCACGCCCAGGATGAAGTAGGAATCGTCTGTGGCCAAGCAAACGAGGCTGCCGCTCTCATTCCAGAACACGTTCTTTGGCTGCACTTCGATGCGACGCACCAGCTGCAGGGTCTCCCAGTCGTAGAAGGCCAGTCCCGAAGAGGTCTTCACACCAAAGTAGTATCCACCGTAAATACTCTCAGCCCCGTACTCGGGAGTGAAGCTCTTCCGATCCTTGAAGTTGCGGAACAGTCGCACAGTGCCATTGTTCTCCCGTATGGCATACTCGTTGCTCTCTAGTGCCCAAACGAATTCCTGGGCCGAGCCAAAAGCCTTGTTGCGCAGAGCCATCGATGTATAGATTATGTATTCGCCATCGCCGCAGACAACCACAAAGCGTCCATTGGGATTATGGGCAATTGTCTGTGGATAGATCTCGCAGGCGCCCATGTCCTTGACGGCAACGGGCAGACGTTCGCCATCCTTAATCTCAGTGCCGTCGGCAATTGTCTTTAGGTTCACCTAAGCGAGCAAATAAAATGATGTTAATTTTGCCTCAATTCGAGGATTAGAGGGGGGACCACTCACCTGCTGCATTTCAGAGTGTTTGGCCCAAACAATTTTACCGCCCACTACGTCCATGGACATGGCCGGCTCCTCACGTCCCACCTTGATGATAATGGAGCCCTCGTCATAGCCAAGGGCCACGTTGTTGGTGCCACGCATGCTGGAAATGGTCCAGACGCGTTCGAAACCATAGTTGAGGCAGGTCTCAAGGCGGTACGTGCCGGAATGCCAGATGCGAACGGTGCCGTCCTCGGAGCCCGTCAACACAATCGGCAATTCGGGATGGAAACAGACGGCGGAAATATTCTGTGCGTGTCCCTCCAATGTTTGGACGCACGTCTTGTTCTGGTAGTCCCAGATCTTGACCAGGCGGTCATCGGCACCCGAAATCAAGTAGGGCTTATCCCCACCGTGATAATAATCGACACAATTGACACCCTTTTCGTGTCCCTCCAGCGTAAAGTTGGCAAAATTGGAGCCCAACTGCCAGACCTTGACCGTGCGGTCCAGTGAGGCAGAGGCAAATGTATTGTTATCCTTGGGGTTGAAAACGATCTGCATAACATAGTGGGTGTGACCTTCGAAGACACGCTGGCAAGCCCACAGCTTCTCCCAGTTCCATAATTTGATGAGCATGTCGTCTGATGCAATCCGAGGGAGGAAATCGAAACCAGAATTAGTACGGATTACGCAGATTAGTCCTTTCCAACCTACCGCTACTGGTCAGCACGAGCGGCTGCGTGGGATGCACGGCAATGCAGCGCAGGTAATCCGAGTGCGCCTCATACGAGTGCACCTTCTCCAGAGTGTTGTAGTTGAAAATACGGATTTGCATATCATCCGATCCGGTTATGATCCAGTTCTTGCGTGCCACGAAACGGGCGGAGCGTACCGGGACATCGCACACCTCGAAATCCTTAACCATTTGCTGGTTTTCATAGTTCATGATGTGTACGTGGCCATTGTATAGGGCGCACAACATCCACGGCTCGGCTGGATGGAGATCGACGCACTTGACGCGATCCGAGCGCGACGTCAGGCGACGCTTGATGTCCAGTTTGAGAGGCATCGCTTATCAAGTAATCCAACTTGGACTCTGTGCAAAATATGGTAAATTGATTGCGGCGAGATGAAAAAAACTCTTTTGCTGCTATTTCGTCTTCCTCTTCCCCCTCTTGATAATGTGTCAGACCTGTGCTAGAGTTGTCGTCTGCCACGTTCAAAAGGCAATCGATACTTCGGTTCAACTATCGATACATGTATTCGGTTCCACGGGTGAAATTTTTTTTAAAAAACCAAATTGCAGAATTTGTATTGCATTGGATCATTTATAGCCAGCCTTGCATCCTAAAATCAGAAGCAGAAAGCGTAGCTTGATTTTGGCGCTTCTCAGTACGTTTAAATCCGTTCCGCGACAGCCAATCGTCAGCAAGATTAGCGTCATGTTGAGATTACATGGGAGCCTAGCTTGTTTGCACAGTTTGCATTGATCCAAAATCAAACAACTAGTTCATCGTACTACTCTGTCGTTTAATTTAGCTACACTACATATACAAAAGCCGGTTGATTTCTGCTACTTTGCTGACTGATTGTACGGGTTTCGAGCCAGCCGATCCGCCATTCGACGCATCTGCTCCTCGTTGCCATATTTCTGTGCTTCTGCCACCACAGCGGCATGGTGGATGGTGGCGTCTGCCGAGACTTCGTCTTGAACTTGACGATGCAGATCGAATGAGTGCCTTCATCGTGTAAGAAATGCGATGAATTATACAAATATATTAACCGAAATACTCGGATAACTTACTTCACGGAAGTGAAGCCAAAGAAAGCACCAACAATGCCGAAGGCGATCAGAACCAACGCGACCTGCCAGTTGGACACACGCTTCAAGCCCCTTATGCCATAGTAGGGGCCGGGACTTGGATCGTAGTTGGGCCTTACATTCCAAGGCTGCGAGGGATCACTGTGTTCGGCAACAGGACTGCGTTCTGAACCATTTGGTAGCCAGATCAGACTGTCGTCATAGTCCCGGCGAGACTGTGGCTTAATAAGTGTGCGATATGCCTCAGAAATTTGAACAAAACGAGCGGTTCTCTCAGAACATGCGGCATTGGTCTTGACATCAGGATGGTACTGGAAATTACCGAAGAATACAGAAAACCATGCCTATATACCGGTCTGTTCAGCGAAATTGCTACCTGCTTGGAGAGCTCCACGAATGCGTTGCGGATGTCTTGGGTGCTGCAGTCGCTCCTTACGTTTAGAACCGTATAGTGGGTCTCCGCCTTTCTAGGCTTCAGCCTCCTACCGTCGTCCGCCAAACTGCGCAATAAACATAGTATTATTTTATATAACTACAAAAACTAAAATTTCCTTACTTACGGCTACAGGTGGACTTGACCCTGAGCCTGAGCCAGGTAAGCCTTAGCATTGTAAGCCTTCGAGGACCGAGTTTTGTAATTTAGTTCATGTTTTTGAGCGAACGGAAATAAATAAACTATTTTTAAAAACAAATAGTTTGTGAAAACAGCTGACAGCAGAAATAAAATATCACAAAAAACTATCGATAATGATATTTTTCATAGATATTCAACAACCCTACGTCCACGTCCTCTTCTCACTGCATTTGGCTATAAATTGAATTGCCGCTTAAAAACTGTATAAAACATGTAAATGCTCGGTTAAGGCAACAAAGACTATATCAATATACTCCGATAAAGCCCTTTAAGTGGGGAGTGCGAACAGCCCTGATGTGGATCTCAGGCCAGCTAGTATTGCTCCTTCTGGTGGCACTTGTTGCCGCTAAAACGAAAACTTCTGCTGTGCAGGAGGACGTGTCCGAATACAAGGACTTTAAGAAACTACTGCGCACCAAGAACAATGTCCTGGCCCTCTATGTGACCAGTGCCAAGGCGGCGGGCACCGAACTGAGGGTGTTCCGTGAGGCTGCAGAGGCGATACGAGGCACCGGTACCATGCTGTTGGTGGATTGTGGACAGCAGGATAGGAAGAAATTGTGTAAAAAGCTGAAAATCTCACCGGACCGGTATACGCTCAAGCACTACAAAGATGGCGACTATCACAAGGATTACGATCGACAGGTGAGTGTCGGTTCCATTGTCACGTTTATGCGTGATCCGTCCGGTGATCTGCCCTGGGAAGAGGATGCTGACGGCAACGATGTGCTGCACTTCAGTGATGCTGCCACATTCACGAAACACCTGCGCAAGGACATACGTCCCATGCTGGTTATGTTCTATGTGCCCTGGTGTGGCTTTTGCAAGAAAATGAAGCCGGACTACGGCAAGGCGGCCACAGAGCTCAAGTCCCAGGGTGGCTATCTGCTGGCAGCCATGAATGTGGAACGCCAGGAGAATGCCCCCGTGCGCAGACTTTTTAACATAACAGGTAAGCCTTTGATACGTAAATTGCACACCAAAGTCTAAACAATTTGCTGCGCAGGATTCCCCACACTGATCTACTTTGAGAACGGCAAGCTTCGCTTTACCTACGAGGGTGAGAACACCAAGGATGCCTTGGTGGCGTTCATGCTAAATCCCAACACAAAGCCCACGCCCAAGCCCAAGGAACCCGAATGGTCAGCGGATACCAACTCGGAAATAGTTCATCTCACCAGCCAGGGCTTTGAGCCCGCATTGAAAGAAGAGAAGTCCGCCTTAGTTATGTTCTATGCACCCTGGTGCGGCCACTGCAAGCGCATGAAGCCCGAGTATGAAAAGGCAGCGCTGGAGATGAAGCAGCAAAAGGTGCTCGGTTTATTGGCCGCGTTGGATGCCACCAAAGAGCAACCGATTGCCGAGAAGTACAAGGTCAAGGGATACCCAACGGTCAAGTACTTTGCGAATGGCGTCTACAAGTTTGATGTCAATGTGCGGGAAGCATCGAAAATAGTTGATTTTATGCGGGATCCCAGGGAGCCGCCGCCGCCACCACCGCCGGAGAAGAGCTGGGAGGAGGAAGGTGATAGCAAAGAGGTGCTCTTTCTCAATGACGAGACCTTCAGCTCGACGCTAAAGCGCAAGAAGCATGCGCTGGTCATGTTCTACGCCCCTTGTAAGTACGAAAATGAGTCCACAGTTGAATCAAATATTGAAATGCTGCCTTTTTTACAGGGTGTGGACACTGTAAGCACACTAAGCCAGAGTTTACAGCGGCCGCCACAGCGCTGCAGGACGATCCACGCGTTGCATTTGCCGCCATTGACTGTACCAAGCATTCCGCACTCTGTGCCAAATACAATGTCCGTGGATATCCAACTATTTTGTATTTCTCCTACCTCAAGATCAAGCTAGACTACAATGGTGGACGCACCAGCAAGGACTTTATTGCCTACGTGAACAATCCGCCGAGCACAACGGACCACACCGAGCTGTGATACGCTGTCGACAACCTAACTAACGATAGTTCTCTCTCTCAATCTCCTTTGCAATCTCAGTTCGTGTAATAATTCTAGTTGTATTCCATTTATATTATTAACTTCCCCATTTACCGCAGAGTATATACATTTGTACGTATGCCTACGCCTGTGTTTACTAATAAATTATGTTTAAGCTTCATTTGAAAGCGACTCGTGGAAAAGAGAATTCCCGGGAATAGTAAAAAAATCCATATGAATGTCGTGTGCATGGCAAGGCCCACTCGAGACTGGCCCGTGAATGCAAAAGAGAATGACAGATAATTTTAAAACAACATGCATGTCGTGTGCATCACGCGGTACATTCAACGTTCCACTTTGACAGACAACAGGCCATGTTCTTCTCATATGAGAATGTTACATAAAACAATGGAAAGGATGGTTTAATTTTCCACTCTTAGCATTTGACCTATTTTATAATATGGTACATGGAGGTATATGAAGTATAATTTTTATTGTACACGTAATTTCAATAATTTCTATTTGCTTTAAAAACAATATTTAACCTAATATATTAATATATTTTGAATTCAATAGCTATATAGAGATATATACTATATATATAAAGCCTTATCCTTGTGGCACACATTTCATGAGGGTAAACTGCCTACACACTCTCGAATATTGCACATTTGCTTCGCTTTGGTGTTCTATGAAATTGGATTTAATGCTAGAAATATGTAGGTTTATTTTGCCAAAATATTTGAAAAATCGTTAGAAATAGATGAAGGGATCCAAGGGTATGTTTTGCAGGGCAGGGAGGAGCCTTATGAATGAGAAGAGGAGATCCAGCTTAACTCAACGCTTCGTCTCATTGTCACGACTGTTCACCTTGGTCCGGGACAGACTTCCCAGCCAGCTGCCACGCTGAGCATTGGCCGTGTACTCCTCGTTGGCCAGGTTAAAGGTACTGAACATGTCCTTCATTTTGAGGGCACGCGTGCAGGCATAGTTCTTTGTGGCCACATACATTTTGGTTAGGAACTCGGGCATTTGCTTCTGGGTTACCCAAGACTTGATGTTCTGCGGTATGGGTATCCCTGGGTCATCGTAATAGGTGAGTATGAAATGCAGGCCAGGCTCGTGGAATCCGCGGAAGGGCTTGATAACCATAAGGCTCCAGTAGTCGGTCACCCTCACCTTTCCGGGCAGTGCTGGATATGTGCTGTGCTTGGCCCCGCGATTGCAAATGAATATCATCTTTCGCGTCTCATCCCTTATGTAGCGCCGACAGTAGACATAGTCCCGGTTGGCAAACAGCCGCGGCCACTGCATTTCCCAGTAGATCAAATGCGAATTACTCCCCGGCACGGGATCCTCGCTTATAAGCTCCAGTCTCAGGGCCGTATCGTCCCACTGTCGGCGATAATCAAGATCTGTTTGCACATGGAGGAAATCGTCTGCCGTGATGTCATCAAAGCGTGCATATACCTATTGGTAGGGTAGGGAACCACAAGCATTACAACCTCTGAAGATGTACTGAACATTGCACAATTTGCACTTAAGTTTACCTTATATGAGTATAAAGAGGACTGTTCCTCTCGCCTCCATATGCTAAACTCGTTTTTACTAAAGTACGGCTCCCATGTGTGATCGTCTTGTGCCTGAATCCGAACCACTCCCGCTGGCGCATCTCGAGTATCCAACTCCAAGGGCTTCTGGCAGTTGCGTATGGTGCCGGTGTCCGGACCCGGACCCGGACCCGCACCCGCACCTGGAACCAGCCCCTGCTTGCCCATCGACGGGACGTTTGCACCGCCCTTCCGACACCTCTGATTCCCCAACAGGCAGTAGCAGTATTTCATGTTCTTTGCCTTGCAGCGATCACATAGCTGGTTATTTGGCAGTGTGTTGATGAACTCAATGTCCCGCCGGCACATGTCGAAATTGGAGAGCGCCAGGCGCTCCTTGTTCCAGTCGAAGCCATCGCTGCCCATCCGCTTGATGTTCAATCCCATGAGGCCCACCGCACTCAGCATTAATCCACGTATAGGCGGTTGCAGCTCGCGACGGTAATAGGCGCGCCATAGCTGCTTGAGACCCTGTGTACCGTAGACCGACTGATAGAATGTTAGCAACTGCTGGATGCGGCGAGAGCGCTGGGCGAAAATCGACTCGCACTGATAGCTCCAGGCGCGTAGAGTCTCCCTGGACTGGGTCTTTATTGCCAAGACAAATCGATTGAGCAGCATGCCGGCTAATTCAATTGTCTGCCCCCTGCTTGCATAACAGCTGAATGAGGGACGGGGCAGCTCGCTCTCTGTTATTAATGTTCCTTCCGCAATAATTTACTCGCACACTTTGTCACATTCGTTGACTTTAAACTGCAAAATTTTGTTTCTGTGTCCTGGCTATCGACTTGACAGGTGTCCCAATGCACGAGAGGTTGGTTATGTTATTTCAATGCTTATCATTTCTAACCAATTGAAAAAAACGTGCATGCTGCACAATTGTGCTCGGCTTATGTTATTGTTGGTGTTTTTGTGTCGTTACAGGGTGAAGTGCTGTGAAATCTCAGAACAGTGTTGCCTACTTTTTATCAGAAAAAAAGCTGTTTCTAACTTGAAGAAAACGAAAAACAGCTTAGCATTTTCAAACAAAATCAAAAAAAAAAATAAACCTAAATAATGGTGTTTATAATTTTTTATTTAAGTGATATTTATTATGTGTTTTATAGAATTTTCATTAGCTCATCCGGCTCTGTGGGGCTAGCTTCTGATTCGCATTCGTACGACATGGTCGTGCCATGGCACTTCGTGGTCAAAACAGCCTTTTCCAAGGCTTTGCGATCACCACCTGTATATTTAAATAAGAACTAGTTATATCCTTTCACTGAATAAAACTTTACTTTATGCACAGAATGCTATTGGTCCTGATTAGTTTCATGGAATTCCTTAGTTATGTCTTAACCAGATTGACCTGGCGTAATACCCGCTCCAATTCCGCGTTTGATTCCAATGCAGAATTACTGCTTCCCGCATTTGGTCTTCAAAAAAAACCAGATCTGACGGAAAAAAGCATAATTGGCAACACTGTCTGTAATAGACTTCGAGCAGTCGACAGCACTGAGCGCGGGACAGTGGACACTGTAAAACACAATAGTCATATAAAGGCAATAAAATATTTGTATACAAGAATGCACCTATGCTCTTAAAAAAAAAAAGTAGTTTGGGGTGTCTGTTAAATATGTAATAGATATGATATTCTTCATAAACGTTTTTCTGCAAGCCTTGACGCACTGTGCTGTAGTATTTAACGTTTACCAACTCTAGGCTAAAGAAACTCGTGGTGCGATTTTGTGTTTGTTGCACCAATTTTTATTTCAATTTGATGTGTGAAATTGCATTTCAGTTGGAAAAGGACTTAATAAAACTAGGAGAGGATGTCAATGCGGCGCCAGCGCTTCAAGGCTATGGCCAATCTTTCGCACGTTAAGCGCAAGGCGCGTAAAGAAGATCTTCAAGTGCCGAAAGATGAGCCAGAGGAGCAGGCGATAGGGACAGACGTTGAAGAAGAAGCCATTGCGGCGACTGGGGAGCTTGAAGATGCCGATGCAATGGCTTTCAAAATGCCCGTCAGCTCGGCTGGGCAACTGGAGGAGGTTTTCCAATCTGAGATCGAGGATAATGTGATACAAATGGATTTGCAGAAAACCGCGAATGGATACCCCATGTCGCCGAGCAAGACCCAGGCACGCCAACGAGTGCGTCCGACCCCTGTGTTTGGCCAGAGAAGGAATAGCTTTGTTGGTTCACCCATGGCCGGCGACTACGATGGGGAGTATCAGTCTCCAGCAACGCCCACACGCAGGGAGCGCTATCTCAGCGGCTCGTCGATGGGCACGCCGCAACAGGCAGCCTCGCCCATGCCACCGTCCCCGTACAAATACTTTCCACCTGTCATGAGTCCTGGAATGGGACGCATCCGCACGGAATCCACTTGCTCGGCTTACTCGGAAGGCGGCGGAAAGCTTCGCAAGGGGGACGATAAGAGCCAGGCCATGCAGGCGGGACAGCGAGTGAACGCTCGAAGAGATTTCGAGACGCGCTTCAACAACGGTATTCCAGACAAATCAACTTTTAAAATGTTCGACATGATCTTCTACAACCCCCTAAACAATCCCATGGAACAAAAGCCCCTGGTTACCACAATAAAAGCAGAGTCCAGTGCTGAGGAAACGAAGCCCACTACAGATCAGCTGATAGACGCCAAAGAAGAGCCAACCTCAGCCATGCCCGTTCCCCAATTGAAACTCGATGCCAACGGGGAGATGATCATTGATGAGAAGACCCTGGAGATCGAAACCACAGCCGAGGTGGAAGCCCGCAAGGTGCTCGCCAACTCCTCGCTAATACTCATGGATGAGACTACTGGTAAGGCTGAAAAATGGTTATATTTCATATATATTATTATTTACATTTATCCTGCATAGGTGACAATGGATTTTATAAGCGTCACAGGCGCACCCCGTACTGGTCTGCCGAGGAGACAGTACGCTTCTATCGAAGCTTGCAGATTATCGGCACGGACTTCTCTCTGATGTGCCAAATGTTTCCGCAGCGTACGCGGCGCGATCTCAAGCTCAAGTACAAGAGGGAGGAGCGAACCAATAGCCAGCTGATCAACAAGGCTCTGCTCTATCCCAAAGCCTTTAATATACAGGAGCTGAAGGATCAACTGGAGCAGGAGGATCGCGACCGTGTGGAAAAAGAACGCCAGTGGCATGATATTATGTCTGCTCAGGCTGGCAACACTAAGAAGGTGGGTTTGAGTTGTCTCAAGGTGTTATTTATAAATCTTAAAATTGTTCTTATTGTAGCGTACAAAATCGCTGGTAAGCAAAGCAGCGCGAAGCCTGAGCGATGGAGATACGGTCTATGAAAATGAGCATGTCACCAAAAAGATGTTCGGAAAACACGCCTGGGCCAAAAGATGCAAGGCTTTGAATGCGGATGAGAATGAAGGAGTCGGTGCGGCCAAGCGAAAGCCACGCCAACGCGTCTCGAAGAAAAATCAAATGGAGGATCAGGCCATGAAATCCATTAAGGAAGAAGCAGTCATCAAAACCGAACAAACTGGATGTAGTAATGTGAATAGAGGAGAGCTGCAGGAGGACTTAAATGCGCTTTTATCAGACGATCAAGAGTGTATACTAGATATTAGTAGGCCACGTGATAAAACCATCGTTAACATGGACGATGGTACCCTAAGCAATGTCAACGACATTGAAGCTGGATCTGATGGGCCAACGGACAAACCAACAGGGGCATTTTTAGTTGATTTAATTGCCGATCAAACATTATCCTCACCAACATTAGGCCCGGACAGGCCTGTCGCTTCGCCTGCTACCGAAAATGGCATAGAACAAATCCTTTCCGCGCTGTCAGAAGGATCATTGGTCCTTGTATCGTCCCAGGATCCCGAGAACGAGAATCGTGTCGTCAATGAAATTTATATGTATGACAAAAATACTGACGACTTGTGCGAGAGCCCGCTGAATATACCCGATCATATTGTTCAGTGTATCGTGAATGTTATGCAGCTAGAAGATTAATATGCATTTTGTATATACAAGATATCTAATTTTAATTGCTTATTATGTATAATTTATTAAATAATTTTGTTTGATACATTTACAAATATTTTCATAAAACTGTTGAAAATGAGACGGTATGTTTCGGTATATTTCTGAGGTATATTTTTTTTATCGATAAGTCCGATTTTGACACCACTATTCGACAGCTGTTTTTGTTGCTGTGCTGAATCGGAGCAGTAATTTTATAGAATTTAACAAATTTATCCAATCAAAACGATGGCCCAAGTCCCCTTGGCAATTGCTTCGCACAAGCGCCAGGTGTGCAGCTTGTACAAGCGTGCTCTACGCAATCTGGAGGCGTGGTACGACCGCCGGCAAGTTTAGTTAAACATATCTGCTGCAGATTATATAATGACGAAGTGCATCTTGATTTGTTAACTCCCTAATAGACATGACTACCGCTATCGGGCTGTGCAGATGCGCGCACGTTTCGACGAGAACCGCTGCAAGGATCTGGGTGAAGGCATTCGTCTATTGGTCTGTGGTCAGAAGGAGCTCTTCGAGACGAAGCATTTCCAGCCCAAGACCTGTAAACAAAACAACCTGCCTTTAATTGTAACGTGAAACCATTGACATGTACCATTTACAGTTGCAAACAGCGCTGGTGGCTGCGCCTTCGAGCGTGAGGTCATCCCGCCCGATTGGCTTTTGGATTACTGGCATCCCCTGGAGAAGGCCCAGTTTCCCGAGTATTTCGCCAAGCGGGAGCAACGAAAGCAGCAGTACGTGGTCTGGTGGCAGAAGCAGTATGGCAAACCAGATCCAAAAGACCTGGGACACCATTAGATAGCCGTTAAAGTACTGTAGTCAATTCCAATCATTGTCTTTAAAAAGGAAAAAATATATTGGAGCACCTCATACATGGTTTTTATAATTTTTATTTTGGATTACAGAATGTCTGCAACTCTGAGTATGTAAACAAAAAAAATCTGGTAATTGGACATTCGTTTAATACATATTCATAAATGTTTTTGTACTTGGTGAATTGATTAAAACATATTTATGTGTGCACATGAGGGGAGGGGGGGATAAACGTAAGTATATATGCGTTCGTAGGTTCCTTCAGATTGGTCGGTGTCCTGCCGCTCAGTTCAGCTCGTTGGGATCTATGCGTGGGCGCTTTTTGCTGTTGCTGCCATTGCCAATGGGGGTGGAGCTGTTGGCGTTGCCCTCGTTGCCATGCTCCCGTTTACGCTGCAATGTCTTCTTGTCCCACTGTTGGGTGAGATAGCGCAGTAGCACGCATCGCTTGTCCATTACAATAAGCTGCTCCGAGGCCTCATCTTCGGTGGGCAAATACACAGAGGCGCGCTTTTGAGACGTTCGTATTCCGTGCTCGTTGCTCAGGTGAGTGAAATTATTGGAATCATGAATTGGCAGGCCCTTGATGAAATCGCTGACAGACATCTTGCTGGTTCTGTGTTGTTGCTACGGAATAACCAAAACTATTTGTTATCACTCTCGTTATTCGGACAACTTGACTGCTCTCACTTGCTTAATTGTGCGAGGAGTTTATTGAATTGTTTGCAATTGCGTATTTGTGCTTTTAAGCAAGACTTTTGATAATTTGTATGTGCCCTCAAGCCTTTTTGTTGTTATTAGTGGTGGTGGAGTTGGAATTAGAGCTGGAGAAAGATCGATGTTATCGATGTTTGGGACACCGATATATTTTCTCACGCACCGATGTTTTTATATTGACACTAGTAGCATCTTATAGGCTGACAAATATATATTTTTAAAAATAAATCTGCACGCTGGAGTGTTGAGTAGTGTTTTTCTGTTTTTAATTATTAAAATACAAAAGTTTAAATGAGTTCCTTAGCTGCGATTATGACGATTTCCGTCCCCTCGGCGCACCACATCTTTGTACTCATCCATGCGCCGCATACGCGCCAGATTCTCTGGATCGTCCTCTTCAATTAGCTGGTCCTCCACGGCTTTCTCCTCATCCTCCTTCTCGTTGGGATCACGGGCAGCCGCTATTGCCTGGGCCTGATTTATTTTGGCCGACTTCTCCGCATCGGGGAATATGCCCTCGTCAACGCGCTGCTGATAAAACTCATCCACGCTCATGACGGGCAAGCTGGGATAGCCCAAGCCAAAAACGGCCTTCTGTGTAGCATTACGTGTGATGATAAATGGTTGCAGTGGCTTCGGCTTGGGTGCATGGTGGTGGTGATGACTATGACCATGACCATGGCCTCGTGATCCCGACGGTTTGCCAGATGTGGATGGAGTATCATCATCAGTGGTGGCTTCGCCACCTGCCAATCGAGCAATACGCATTTTGGACAGCTTTTGCATCATGCACAACGATTCCAATTCGTGCTTGCTGTCGATGATGCTCTTGTCCAGATATTTCAAAAAGAACTCCCTGCGAACTTCATCATCCGCCGTCTTATTTTGAACGGCAGCCCGCATTCTACCCATGTACTCATCGATTTCCTTCATCTTACGATACTGAGCAATTTTGTCATTGCGGTTAAAGGCGGCTTCCATGAGCTCCCGCTGCTCGCTTTTTTCCACTTTGTTGTCCTCTTGCACTGTCCCCTTAGGGGCCTCACATAGCTCGTACTCCTGGCAACGTTGCAGATGGTCCTTGAAATAAATTTCCGCCAGATCCAAGATCTCTGTGCTGTTGGGATTGTTAATTTTGGTGGTAAGCTTCCCCAAAAAGTAAGGCAACAACATAAACGGCAGCGAATCGGTGGAGACTTCGTCAATCAGCTCGTTGGGACTGAACATGCCGACTTGATTCACGATCACTGTTGCCTCTTCAAAGTGGCCCAAGGCAGTTTTTACCTTGTTCTGTGGATACAAAATTACAACAATTTGCAGACTCCTACGCATACATATGTCGGATTGTATATCTCACCTGAAATTCGCTGCCATTGAATGGAAGCTCGCTTACGTCTAGCTCTTCATATAGATTCCAGCCACTTAGGAAAATATCCGACAGCTTTTTGTCCTCGCCGCCTGCAGCTGCTGCGGCGGTATTTTCATCAGCCATAAATATTATTAATGATTTGCGAAAGGGTTTAAAATATATATGTTTATTTAACTTGCTTCGGTAAGAAATTTTGCGAATTTGACGCCGGTGACACAGCTGACAGTGTTGTACACTATCGATACTCGTCTGACCCTCAGAAATATACCGAAAAATACGTTCTCAGTTTTAAAATATACCGTAAATATAGGGCTTGGCATAATTTCAAATGTATTTTGTTCAATTCTTTTATTAAATTATATAAAAGTCATTGGACATAGCGTATTTGTTCCTGATGTTGACGAGTCTAATGGAAAGGTCGTGCGTCTAACCCTTGAGGGTGGTTTCAAGCTCCTTGTTGGCCAGCAGTTCCTTTATAATGTCCAGGCCACCAATCAGTTCACCCTTTACATACACCTGGGGGTATGTGGGCCAGTCGGAGTAGGTCTTCAGGCCCTGGCGTACTTCCTCATCACTTAGGATGTCAAAGGTTTCATAAGGCAAGCTGTTGATGGAGAAATCTAGTCAATAGTTCTGATTCAACTTAACGATTTGAGTACCTAGTGTCATTTACAATAGCAATGAGCTGTTTGGAGAAGCCGCAGCGTGGAGCATTGCGATCCCCCTTCATGAATATCATTAGAGGAGCCGTATTGACCAAGGCCTTTAAGCGGTCATCCAGTGATTGCCCCGTGGCTGCCGCACTGCTAGCACTCTCGGCCAACTTCTTAGATTTGCTACTGATAGCGGCAACGTCCACACCGTCCACACGATCCACAGCGGAGCCCTTGGCAAAGAAAATAACTGTGGGAACGGCTTCAATCTTGTTGCCAAGCCCAGCCACAAATGGTTACAAATATCTGTGTCTGCTTCGTTTCATCTATTTGATGATACTCACTTGATGCTTCATGGAAATCTCTGGGAATTGTTCGGCATTTAGGCTAATGAATTGCAGTTTGTCACCTAGCAGTTTCGACAGTTCTTCTAACACATCTTTGACCTGAGCACACTGCTCGGCCCAATCGGCGGCAAACAACGCCGCCGTTGTCTTGTCGGCATTTATCAAATTTTGATATTCCTCGGCATTGGACACGCTCAACACAGGCATTTTGAACACAATTTATTTGTATTTAATTTATTGAAATGTAAAATGAAATAAAAGCAAGCTGTATTTTTTATTATATCAGCTGGGAATAGTGTTGGTAAGCGGCGTGCGGAAATCGAACGAGTAGATTAAGTTTTTATAAATCAATGCAGTGTTATTACTTTAAATATACCTTTGTATAAGTATATTAAATGGAAAATAATACATGCCCATGCAGGTTTACGAATATTAACCATTGTGGGGCATCAAACGTACCTTAAGCGAATGTACCTTTTCCGCAATTAATACTGACAATTACCGTGTTGTTAAACGACGCGAAGGGCCTGTCTATTATAGGATTTGTTTCAACACGTGCAGGCCGCATTCAATACACACAGCATACGAATTTTTGCAATTGAAATTAAAAGTTGATGAAAGCAGAAATGGTGACAAGGAAGAAGCCAGTCAAGCGCACTGCCGACGTGGCGGCCATTGATATAGATGGGGAGGAGCCGACACAGCCAAAGGTTCCGAAAGAGCTACTCGTCGTGGCCCAAGAGGTGAAAATTGTCCGCGCCCTGGCTTGCAATGATGTGACAAAAAGAAATCGCCAAATACGCAAACTACGCAAATGGTTCAAGCTACGAGCCAACAGCTCGTTCTCCTTCACCGAAGATGACTTTCTGCGGATCTGGAAGGGGCTGTACTACAATATGTGGATGTCGGACAAGCCGCTGGTGCAGGAGGAGCTGGCCGAGCAGTTGGCCCAAATGGTGGACAGCTTCGACGGTAATACGGCTTGCAGTTTGTCGTATTTCAGTGCTTTCATGCGGACCATGTGCCAGGAGTGGTTCGGCATTGATCAATGGAGAATGGACAAATTCCTGATGCTTGTGCGCCGCATGCTGAGGTACGTGCTGCGGCTGCTCAAGCAGAGCAAGTGGTCGACCGAGCTGATCGAAGCGTTCAACAACAGCATGCTGCAGTCTGTCCTGGCGGATCAGCCCAAAAGCCGCGGCTTGACAATGCATTACTTGGACGTTTTCTTCGAGGAACTGGCCAAGGCGGCCGATGGCGAGATTACTGCCAGCCAAGTAAATCTCTTTCTGCGTCCATTTGTCAACTATATGGGCACTCAGCGCGATGCCAAGCTGGTGGCCCAGTGCCGGACAAGAGTTCTCTACCATTTGCTGTACCAAAGCGAATTGGGCCGAGAGTATAGCGAAAAATACAACGCCTGGAAGCAAATGGGCTTTCCGACCGCTTCCATCGATGACATCGAGAAACACGACTCGGGCTTTGACGAAGAAGATGACGAGGGCAACACTGAGGAGGAGCCGCAGCGTGCCACTTCCCTTGATCCACGCGCTGGCAATGTTGATGTACACATGCCAGAGCTGCCCCTCAATGCCGATTGTGTTTTGGATGAGCTCCAGACGCTGCTGCGCACAAACGAGTTCAACAGCAAACGCCGCAAGGGTTTACGCAAACTCCTTCAAATCTTTGAGACCTATAAAAACGGAGAATTCCCATTGGGTGTGCGCACCATGCCCAAGGTAGAAGGCACAACTCTATCCGAATTGGTCGAGCAGAAGGTGGCCGACATTGAGGAGATGGAGGACGAGGTCTTTGGCACTGGCAGAAAACTCAAGAAACTCAACAAGTCCAAGCGCAAGCGCCTGCTGCAGTCCATCAACTTTGAGGAGGTCGACGAGCACAACTACGACGACATAATCGGCAAGGCTCTACCACCAGAGCTGCAGAAAAAGGTCAAACGCAATGCGAAGGTGCGTTCCAGTATCAACAACGCCTGGGTGGTGGAGGAAGTCAATGACGCCGAGGGTGCCGAGGTGGCCAAGGTGTCCAAGGTGGCCAAGGTGGCCAAGGTGGCCAAGGAAGCGAAGAAAGCCAACAAATCCAAGGAAGACAAGGAAGGCAAGGAAGAGACGCAGACCAAATTGAAGGCAAAGAAGGCGAAGAAGGTAGAGAAGTCGCAGCCCAAGGCGGAGCCAGAAGCAAAACCTGCAGATAAGAAAGCTGCCGACGCTCCAAAGCCAACCAATGGTTGGGAATCACCTCTCGAGGCTGGTGAGGAGGAGATCTTTGTTCCCTCGCGCAAACAGCAACTGAAACAGGTAAACAGCACACTCCAGAAGTCCACGCCGCAGCCAGCCAAGTGTCTTCCACCCCAAGCGTCCACACCTCAGACGGGCAGTGCCAAGCGCGTCCAGATCCAAATCAAGCGCAATAGCTTCTATCCGAAAAGCGATTACTATCGTCAGCTGAAGCTATCCCCCGCATTGCCATACGATGCGGACCGTTTGCCCGGCAAGAGCGCCCTCAAGCCGCACGTGATGCCCGGACCCATCAATCCCAACTACAAGGGAGGCAAGCGACTCTTCAACGACACCCTGTGACGTTGCGTCCGCTGGATGGGATTTGGACAAGGACGTTGACGTGATTGCTCGAACGAGTCATTCACCGACCGCCACGGACAGGCATATCCCCCAATATCGGACCCCTGGAATATTATTTAGGGTTACAACTCCTGTAGGTCTTATACGATTTCTAAATATTCTTATTCGCTACCTACCTACCGCTTGCATAAGGCATTCTGTTAGATTACACTGAATATTGATTCTATTTAGTATAAGACCCTTTGTTAGATTCACCACCAACCATATGCATCATATCCTTCATGTACTGCAGTTACTTTCATTTTGCTTGCTCCAGATACAGCGCTAAATCAAGACATTTTATTTACGCTATAGGTATGCGTAAATGCGTAAATGCTGAAATTGATTGTAAAACACTTTAAGTTCTTAGGTTGCTATCTTTTGAGCCATTACTGAAATAAAAGCTAACATGCATGTGTAATATGAAACACGAATCATTGAATCTATGGTTTATCCCGGGAAACGGGTCGCTCCCGTCAAGTCAATGATTGAAACTAGATCTACCATGTGAAATACGAATCCCATTTTATATGTGGGGAAATTCTGAACTGTTTAGACAATGAATGGTGGATCGCAGTCATACGATCCATCCATGAGTGTCCACGAGTCAGCGAGAATTGAATTCCTATTCGGCCTATTCGGTATTCTATTTCTCCAAAACGAAGGGTCGGTCTGTGCTTCCGAGATGGGGACTCGACTCGTCGATATTTTAGCTGTGTGTTCAGTATTATTTTACAGCAATATTAATGAATCGAATTAAGAAATAACGTGGGTTTTATTTGCAGAAAAACAAAAAAAGTAGAGAAGCGCTGACGTTTATAAATCATAAGGACCAGGATCTGTTCTCAAATGGAAATCAAACATATACGACCTCGGAACCACTTCATTTGCATTAAATCTGTTTAATTTTTTGCATATTTATTATAACAAATCATTTTTTGGCTCTGAGTCTGTATAAATCCCATAGGTATAATAATCGACATATGTATGTGTGTAATTTATAATGTAATAATATTCCCATCATTGCCAAGTGAACTTCCGATTCGATCAATAGAATGATATAATAAATTGTCATAGCAGAATAATTGAAAACTGCACACCGCATAGGCGAATGCCTTAGTGGGCGGGCTGTGGGGGTGTCGGGTCCATAGATTGGTAGGTCCAATGGTAGTATTCATTTCCTCGAGGATAACATCTGTTCCACAGTGCTGGGACATGATGTAAAAAATTTACTTTCTACACATTTGACGCATGTCGTGTCCTGTCGCCAGCCCCAGCCCAGTCCCAAGCTTCCTTCTTCCACCTCGTTGCATGCTTCGCCACTTCTGTTGACAATCTATTTAAGCTGCGTAAATCTCCGCCAACGAAGTCCGTGCAACAAATTTGCAGACACTCTTATGTCTGCATGAGGGTCTATTGTAGGGACTCGTCTTTAAGTCGTGTGTCTATCGAACAGCCTGGAAACTATACCATTCCCATATCCATCTGCATCTGCATCTCAATCTGCCTGCGGCCCACTCCCTCCTTCTGGGCGG